TAAAGATCAGCGTAAAAGGATTAAAGATCAATGCTATTAACTGAGCCATAGACCACTATATACCTATATAGGTAGTGGTCTATGACTGAGCGAGTTTGGGCTTTAAATGGCTTAATGCGGGGTCTGCTGGTTCTAATGAAAGTGCGTATGAACATATGAGGACTAAAATGACAAAAACGAACACCGCTGCGGACAAAAGAATCAGGTCGTTTAGCAATAGGTACAAACGTCTAAGAGAGAGCCAGTCCTGTAAGTATGAGATCGAATGGATTGATGAAAGCCAAAATCTGATAGGAACTGTGAGAGACGGCAGCAGCCTACGTCAGAATCAGGCTTGAGAAGGTGTCACCGCAAATCAGCACGCACGTCAGTGTTTGGGTGATCAACAAGCACGCGTTGGTATTGCGTTTCTAGGTCGGTTAAGTCTGATGAGACGGCGGCCACAGAGCGAATAGGCGGTCGGTATGCTGAAGCCACTATCAGCTGCCGACCTTTGTCCATGTTTCAGGAGCACCCAGAGAGTCTCTAGAGCAGGGGTCGGCAAATGGTGGGGCATGCCCCCTTTGGGGGTAATGTAGCCCTTTCGATGGGGGTACTGAGGGATTCTGAGAAAGCCTATCTTTTTAGAGTTTGTAGCTCCAGTGATGGAGCCATCGTGACTGTTGCATCCCAGGGTTCAAAGATTAGCCCAGGCCAAAGGCACAGCACACATTGATTAGATACCAATTTTCACGTACCTGCTCGCCTCACCATCTCACCCCTCCGTACAGTCGTACAAAAGCAGCTGCAACTTTTAACCGTCGCCCGTCTGTTGGCGTTTCAACAGCCACTAACGTAAGGAGGAGGAGTCGATCGGACCCCCGCGGCCTCTCGGACTCTGATATGGAGCTGTGCATAAAAAAGACGAGCGTGCTACCCGTGACAATAGGAAGCCGCTGCTGCCCATTTTTAAGGTCCTTGGTCATTCCGTCTCATTCAAGAGGGCAATGACAAGTGTCGGGAAAATCGGGACCCGCTAAGGCCGCTATAACTTCTTGAAGTTAGATTTTATGGCTCAAGATGATCTCCAGAAAAAGCTCATAAGCCAACGGTCATTATGGGTCCAGAGGCCAGTTTTACCAACAGAAAAATAGGCGCCTGCCGGAATTTTCGCCTAAAGATCGTTTCACATATGGAGCGTAAACGGTAAAGCCCTATCCGCTTACGAGCCCATCGCGTTTACGCTCCGTATGTGAAGCGGTCTTAAGGCAAAAATTCCGGCAGGCGGTTATTTTTCTGTTGGTAAAACTGGTTTCAGGTCATGATATTTTCCGGGCTAATAAAAAAAAAATGATGGGCTCGAGGGTACAATTTGGTCGTGATCCAATGCCTTTTACGTGAGCTTTTAACGAAAAACCACCCGCCGCCCCTATACGTACAAGGGTTAAATGGGATATAGCATAGGCGGCGGAACGGGGAGGGCATTGGGGCACCGTGCACCCTTTGATTTTTGCATTTTAACATTAGCCCTATGGGCGTTGCATGGAAAGAATGGGACCAAAAGTCGGCAGTGCCCCCCCCCCCTTAATTGAAGGTGTTCCGCCGCTACTGGGATATAGGCATTAAATGTTTTGTGGAGGAAGTGTCATGTTTTAAATTTGATGCATTGGAAATGCACAAATACCCAAAGAGTTCCAGGACGGTATGAAATTTCAGTAAACTTGGTTGTGTCAGCAATGGGGTCTGGTAGGTGGGGGTAATGGCTCTGCCTGGCGCCCAAAAAGGGGGCACGACCCCGAATGACCTGCCGACCACTGCTCTAGAGCGCTGTCCGGGCGCCGCCGTTCCGGCACTTTCAGTCTTGTGGCGTCGATTCCACACTTGATGGCGAGTGTTACTCCACCGTAGCCACGGCCGTCTGGTCGGTCCGAGCGGTAGAGCTGGTAGCCGGGCAGCACCAGAAGTCGACTGGGAGCGGATGGTTTAAGCCAGGTTTCCTGAAGTGCCATGACGTCATAGTTGAACCGGTGCAGCTCCTGGGACAGCTCCAGCAGTTTCGGCTTCACTGACTGGATGTTGAGGGAGCCGATTAGCAGCCCAGCGTGGTCAGCAGCCCTCCAGCCACCACCCTTCGATCCACGCGGCTGCTGCCTCCGCCCTCTCTGTCCTCGCCGCCTCCGCTCTCGCGCCGAGCGCGGACTGGGCACACCTATATATTTATAGTCACCGTGGGCACACCTGGGGGAGACGATGTCGCAGCTCCGTCCCCGCCCGCCGCCCGCTGGGGAGGGGCGACCCGGTCGGCCCGATCGGCACTCCGCTGTAAGGCAGACTCGTCACGGGCCTGCTCGGAGTCGGCTGTTCCTCGCAGGGTATATTGAAGTGAAGGGTAGGACGAACTTTGGTAGGAATATCTAGTATAACTACTAGAAAACCTACTATATGTGGTCGGGACTAGCAAAGTTAGTTCAAACTAGAATATGGTAGCGCTTATGGTTGGCAGTCGTGACGCGCACGTGACATTAATTTCTTTAATTCCTTAAATAACAGGTTTTAAGAGCCGATTAATGGGCAGATACATTCAATTAGCTATTAATAATTGATAATGCTGACATGCAAGAGTCTACATCATTCAATTCTAGCCGAAATCACGCGGCGCACCCAGGATTCGAACTCACGACCCTCGGATCCGTAGCCCGATACGCTACCGACTGCGCTACCGAGGACCGCGCGCCGACGATCGGAGAGGCGGATCGCGGGTGCTGGCGTGCAGAGAAATCTTTACCCTGTACGCCGTAGAAGATCGGCTGGGTTTCGTGAAAAATGGTAGAGGAATTGTCGAAAGAAAATTCATCGATCTATCATTTGAGACTAAGAACCATTGATTCCTTCAAAGGTTGACCGAGATATCGCTCGCCGAAAACAGGCCATTTAACATGTAAACCCTATGGGCTGGTAGGAAATGTACGCCGTGGAGCAGCAGTGCTACCAACTAACTTCGGCGGGGGCCGGTTCCTCGCTCCCACGGACCCCGACCAGTGACAGGGCCGCCAGCACCGCCCCCGGCGCCGCCAGCCGCCACCACAGCACATCCCAACGAGACCACGCCATGTCGCACAAACGCCGCACCGCGGTCAGACGCAGCAGTGGCTCTCAAACTGGGTCGGCCGCGGCGTGATGGACTGGGAGAACCTCCGACGGTAGGGTGGCCGGTACACGTGTCCTTCGAGTAGCCCGGGGGCGGACTGGCCGGCAGCTCCCGGCGTCCCGCAGCAGTCGGAGCTCATGTGATGCAGTAACGCGGCCCCGGGTACCGCCCGGCCGCAGCCAATCACAGTCACGGGAGACGGTCACGGACAACAGGCGGGCCATGGCCAGCAGGACGAGCAGCCGAAACAGGTCACGATGCATGGTGGCTGTAGAAACACTGTCTAGTATCTACGGTGTGGGATAACATCAATGTATGGTCGAGCTTACGACGGCCACTTGCTACGCGGACACAGAAATTGATAAGCTTTGTACCTATGCGCTGGAGTTGGGCTGCACCATGTGAATACCATATTTTGACTATACGATCTTTATATCATACGATCATTTGGCGTACGATCATTTACCTCTACGATCTTTTGCGAATACGATCTTCCGTCCATACGAACATTATACCTACTGTATGATCTTTATCCCAAACGATCTTTTGACACACGAGCATTTTCCTTGACGATCTTTTGCGAGTACGATCTTTTGTCCACACGAGCATTATGTCGCACGATCTTTATCCATTACAACTTTTTGGCATACGATCATTTTCCTTGACGATCTTTAGCGATTACGATGTTTTGTCCATACGAGCATTATGTCGCACGATCTTTATCCATTACGATCTTTTGCACATGATCAACTTCCTACGATCTTCTTCAATACAATCTTTTGCTTTACGATCTTTTGTCCGGTTGCCAAAATCCCATAGCAATTATCAGCCACACTTTACGACGTTCTAACAGGTCCCGATTTTCCCGACTTTTGGGTCATTGACCTGACCTGGAAGGTCAACCAATGACCTAAAACCCTAAAATTGGGTATCATCGGCTTCCTCTCGTCACGGGCAACACGCTCGTTTTTATTCCGCGAAGCTCTAGCTCGATCAGGGGCGAAACGGCAAGGGGGGTCAAACGGACGTCTCCCTTAGGTATATACGCTCGCGGCTGGAAAAACGCCTAGTATCAGCCTACATCAGTTACATCACGGTATATAGAGAACTACACCTGTCCTTTTTACTGCCAAATATAAAAATAGTGAACACAGTTCAGAAATAGTGTAACCATTTCGGCAGTTCGGCATAGTGCACCGCTACTTCGGCCGAGTGCATGAAATTCAGTAATAGCCTAATATACGGCCTTGAGTAATAGTGCACGCGGCTCCGAAACAGTGCAAGCAATTTAAAAGGTAATGCATTTCATTTTCAGTAGTTGCGATTTCAGTTTCACCAGAGTGCATTGCTTCGTCATATGCATTGGTATTCGGCTAACCGCAAAGCAATAAACTTAATTTTTAATAAATTCGGTGCCCACTGCCCCATCTAGAAAACAGTTTTGACAACGTTCTTGCTGAACGTTCTTGCACTATGACGGAGTGGGGTGCACAATGACAAATATCGTACCGAATAAAGCCCCAATAAACAAACAAACAAACGATTCAATTCATGAACCAACTATGCCGAACCGTCGAAATCACCGAAATCACCTGCACATTACTGAAATGTGTGCACTTCCGCCTAAATTAGGCGTAATTAGGTGTACATCTGAATTATATTGGCGTTTATTGGTCGTTATTGGTCGTTAGTAGCACAGTGTATATAAAAAGCACAGGTTAGTAGTAATTTAGCAGTCGCATACTATAAAGTTACGTCACATATATGGTGCATCAGTGACAATTGCTAAAAATCGAGAGCGCCCCCAAAGAGCGCCAACACGACGTCCGTGCACCCCTTGCGTGCACCCAAGGCTATATCAATATAAATAAACCCAAGATTCTTGCAAATAGATAAACCACCCAAAACAACAGTGTATATGAATGCCTAGTCAAAACGGCGAACTGTTGGCTCCGGGCCCAAATGCAGCAATTTGTGGTGGCCTGTAAGCCGAATTACCAATTACCGAATTGTTGATCGTGTTTCATGGTATTATACTTATACGATAATACCAGATTCGCCTTTTTGGATCGATTTAATCATTGAATCATTTTGATTTTTTTCGATTCAATCACCATTTGATTCTTTTAAAAAATTTGTGAATTGATTCCGAGAATTGATTCCATTTGATTCAGATAATAAAAAGGGAATGATTCACATTTGATTCAGGTAAAAAGTTATTGAAGGATTCATTTTTTCAATTCGATTAAAAAAAAATTGTGATTCAGGGCAAGGGATAGTATTGTATTTCTTGTCCTTGTGTTCTTTTTGTTGTCATGCAAGTATCACCAGTAAAATGCCTTTTGGGGCGACCAACAGAGCGAGCGAGACGGTACCACCTGGACTATTTGCTTATTTCCATTTTATTTTAAATAAATGTGTTTTGTTGTTGTTGTTGTTGGCACCTCCAACTAACTTCTGCGCTGCACCCTACTAACCAGTAACCAGTCCCTATCGATGTGCCAAATTTGAGCGCAAGCCAATATGTCTAGCCGTTCTCGAGATCTGGAAGCGGCACCCTGCACATGCGCACGTGTATAAATATGGGTCCCAACTCCCAACTGACTTTTGCATGGCACCCTACTAACCAAAGGTCCCTAAACATGTACCAAATTTCATCGCATTTGGCTTAGCCATTCTGGAAATCTGGAATCGACCCCTGCATGTGCGCACGTGCAGCAGCATCCCAATAGTGGCAAATGGCTATGCATTGCCTAGCGGGTGCCTACCTACATGCCAACTTTCAGCGCATTTGGCCCAGTAGTTGCCGAGATATTGCAATTGCTGCAAAATTGACACCTCTTCGTTTTGCACGTGGTGCATGCTGGACGTGCATAAGGGGGCACTCACATGCATTGGGAATAGTTTAATACTTGGTAGAAGGAATGAAGCTACCCTGCAAAAATTACTGCATGTAAATCGATCAAGTGATTGCTGAGATAGAAGCCTTGGCTTTACTGAAACCTTTCTTGGGACGTGCTTGGGGAGGGGCCTGGGGACGAGGAGGTACTGGGAGGATCAGGAATAGGATCAAATAGACCTCGTGTCAGTGTGCACTGTGCATGGTATGGTCACAGTTGTTCTGACCAAGATGATTCTTTCAGGTTCTAGCCATTAAGGGTTTGACTTCTGAGAGCATATAGATTTCTGAGAATTCTGAGTACATACCTACTGAGGTGAGTTTGAGTTGAGTGAAAAACCAGCAAAGCATTAGGTACCCACATATTTATTGGTCTGGGTATTGCTGTATTGGTAAGGGAGGCATCGCACAAGCTGGCATATGCTGTGCCAAAGTAGGTAGCTAGAGCCTTGAAATATTTTTTTTTTTAGATATTTTGCTCAAGTCTTGACTTTGAGAAGCATGCAGGGGCAACTCCAGGTATTTCAGGAGGGGTCTCTTACCCATCTTACCTATGTGATACTTATTTCCGAGCTATGTTGAGATCTTAAGCTACATTTGACCATGCCACAGCATAGGTATGCCCACTCGGCTCATGTGACATCTTACCAATACCCAGTAGTTATGCTTAGCTTAGCAGTATGAATCCTAACTCCTGATGTACCTACATAAATGTGTAGATTATGAACAATTTCAGCATTGCACAATTCAACATCATAGCATTCAGGAGGTACCTGCTGAGGTTGTTTCTGGTCAGATTAGTATTGGTGTAATGATCTATGTTATGTTTATTTATTTGCTGTCTTACATGCCTCAATCTATAGCAATGACTGTTTGCTCAATAGCAGCTCACTCAAGTAAATAACTTCAGAAATGTAACCATACATAAATGCTTGCAAGGCATGTTAATAAGAATTTAGGAAGCAAGGGTTTCAATAACATTAGAAAATGTTCAAAAGCCTGTGTCTGGTGGCTCATGAGCCATATGCTGTGGTACCTAATGGATGGTGATTGGTGCGAGTGTGACCTTCTCACTTTTCAGATCTGTTTATTTGCGGGGCCATCATGTCACAGGAATTCGGTCCAGAAGATGAGTTTAGAATTTTAGTCGCAACAGATAATCACCTGGGATATAATGAAAAACATGGTGAAAGAGGTATGTTATGTTTAAGATATATGGCCATAGATGAAAGGTTCTAGCTATATTATTGTAATTAATGCATGTAATCATATTAATTACACATACAATGCTATTTGTTTTAACCCTCGCCTGTATAGGGGGAGGGGGTGGTCGAATGCCCCCCCCCCCCCCTCCTCGGTTTTTCGCGAATAACTCGCGTAAAAGTGGCCGATCGTGACGAAATTCTCAGTACCTTCGAGTTGATCAATGTTACACGTACCCTAAAAATTTCATGACCCTGACCCCTAATGACCTTTGGTCTGAGGACTATTTCTCGAGGCCATGTTTGGCCGGAATCGCGATTCGGCGTATGTTGGCTCGCATTAGTGCTGCCGCGCGTTTGCAGTATTTTCGTGGTTTTAAGTGTTCAAACATGTGATATGATGTTTGTTCCATGCATTAGGGTGGGTGTCAAGGTCACCTGAAGGTCAGGTCAGTTTATTGACCTTTGATGACTTTCTTTAGTTCACTTTTTCGACTTTTACATCGTCTCTAGGTTAGCTTTTGGATCTGAATTCGAATTTAGCAACCATTTGAACATTTGCGAAGTAGTTTTGGTCCTTCGTAAAGTGTTACGAAGTTGTCAGAAGCGGTTGAAACGTACTTAAAATACCCGGCAGGTTGACCTACTGGTTGACCTGACCTGACCTGACCCGACCTGGCCTAAATGTATGAAGACAGCTGTGATCGAAACTATCACGAAATACGTGATCAGCGTCCCGAAAACCCCATTACTACCTCACTTTACATAGTTCTAACATGTCCCAATTTTCCCGACGTTTAGGTCATTGACCTGACCTGGAAGGTCAACCAACGACCTAGGACCTTGAAATCGGGTAGGTATCATTGGCCTCCTAACGTCACAGGCAACACGCTCGTTTTTTCAGCTTAAGCTCGTTCAGGGGCCGAACGGCCAGAGGGGTCCAACGCCCCACCCCCCACCCCCACCCCTACCCCATACGCTCGACGCTGGCAAAGCTCCAATACGGGCGAGGGATATAGTTTTATAGTAGAGGTGGCGAAGTGTGGACCCGAGGACCCGGTCCAAAGAATCGGTCCGGTCCTGAACATTTTACTGACGGGTCTAACGGGTCCAACCGGGTCCTAGTTACCACAAACCATAAACTATACACAGAAACTAACGAACCAACTACTGACAAACTGGCTTTGTCTTTTTCTAATTTGCCATATTTCTGAACCTATGGAATGATTTAACCCGCGCATGACTGGGGTATTTTCCATAACGGAGTGACTGAGGGGGAGGGGGCTCTCCAGAGCCCCCCCCCCCCCCTCCTATCTCCGAAACTACTGGGCCAATCGTCAAAATTCAAACGGCTCTGATAGCCCTGGAAAAACTGTCGAGCGAAACCTATTTTCATTGACCTCGAGGTCACCGATGACGTCACAGGTCAGGTCAAAGTAAAATTATCGGCATTTTTGCTTGTTTACAATTTAGGCTCTGGCCGCCGGCTGACAGGTCTGATCAGGCCAATTTTTGGTTTACGCACTCCTTGATATATGCCTTAGATACCCTGAGGGTAACAAACTTTTACTTCGAATTTTTCAGGTCAGGGTCAGGTCATCCTAGGTCACGAAAATTGTATATCATGTATCGGTCACGTGACGCATGTTTAATGGTCCATTTTACACGTAGATTGCGAAAATAATGTCGTCTGTCTCATTTGAGGTCATTTTTAGCTGAATTTACCGGAGGTCAGGTCAATTTCAGGTCAGAAAAGGTCAAATTTTGAAAAAAAAATGATTTCTTTCAACAAAAAAGGTGCCTATCAGATGCAGTTTGCGCTCAGGAACACGATGGTGCCATTTATATTGCTGTACGATGTCAAAAACGTACTGAAAATGGTTTTGAAAATAACATAATTGTAAATTTTTTGACAATAATGCAAATAACTGGGCTATTTTTGAAGATATTGGGCTAAAACTTGCTAGAGTGGTTGATCAGTGCATGTTCTATCACAAATATTCCGGTTTTGCGAAAAAGCAAAAACTATTTGAAAAAAAAATCAGAAAAATATATATTTTTTTTAATTGTAAAATCATGTTTAAAAAAAAAAAAAATTAGAATTTCGAAAATTCGAGATTGCAGTTTGATAGCTACGTCTATTTGTAGTCCACTGATGCAAGGAAATTGGATCTAGCTTTAAAACTTAGCTCCTGAGAGCGTTTGCCGTAATTCAAAATTTTACATAAAAATCGGCCGACATGACGTCATTCTGACGTCATTTCCGGCCAAAATATGGTAGCTACAAAGTTGAAATTTGAACACAAGATGTCAAATTGATGTCGCTGAGGGCACTTTAAGTTTCGTGTTGATCCGTGAAACGGTTTAGAAGATATTGCCGAAAAACGGGAGAGGGCTCTGTAGAGCCCCCCCCCCCCCCCAGTCATGCGCGGGTTAAAGCAAATGTGCTAGACTTTTGTTATTTTTAGTTCCACAGGTACTGTCTGTAATGAATTGGTGCACAATGCAGACAGCAGGCTATGTATATCAAATTGGTGTGCATGTGTGCCGTGTGGTTATTCCCTTGTGAATCTATTTCAGGGGATGACAGCCTGATCACTTTTGAAGAGATTCTTCAGCTGGCCCTAGAAAAAGAGGCTGATTTTATTCTGCTTGGTGGAGATCTTTTCCATGAAAACAAGCCTTCAAGAAATTGTGTCATTCAGTGTTCACAACTGCTGAAAAAGTACTGCTTTGGTGATAGGTAAGTATCATGATTCGTGCAACCATTTCTTGCTACCCTGCTGTGTAAGCCTTAGTTCCACACAAGCTCAGACTGTATTCGGAGCCTTGTTCGGAGTGTCTGAGACCTGTGTCTTTCCAACAGTCATGGGGACTATAGTAGTGTCTTTATTTTTCTCATTGTCACATTATTAGCTCAGAGACATTGAAAGGTGACACCAAGTACCACATGACATATACTCATCTGGAATCTCCAACCAATGCATCAAAAACGTTAAGACATCAACTGCAACTGTGGGATGTGTTACATTTAGAACAGCATGTGGTACCAACTCTTGTAACTTTCAATACAGGCGGCGCACGTTGCGTTTTTTGCCCATTAGAGACCATTGTCCTAATGCCATGGCTTTCATCATCATTGCAGGCCCGTGTCCTTTGAATATCTGAGCGATCCAAGCAAGGACTTCTGCATGAAGGAGCCGCAGGTGAACTTTCATGATCCGAATCTAAACATCGCGATGCCCGTGTTCTCGATTCACGGAAACCACGATGATATTAGCGGTGAGTGTTACAGTGACCTTTGACCGGGCGACGTGCACCGATCCCTGTCACTGCGACTCTGGCCTGGTCGAGGGAATCTCGACTGGGTAACTTATTTGGCTGGATTTGTTTGTGCCCATTGTATGATATAAAACTAAGCAGGACAGCCAAATGCTCATTATTTTCTACAGGCTGGGCGACCCAGAGGCTGGGTGACCTAAGGAACAATGCCGATCGCCCAGATGGTTTTTTCGTTTTTTTATCGCAGTTTTAGCCGAGGAACTTTCCAAACATCTTCTCTGATACAGCCTATGTGAGTATTTAGTCTTTTACCTGTCCACGATTTTATCTGACGTCAAAATAGCAAAGTTTCCTAAGTCCTAACACAGTTTTGTTATTGTACTACTGCGGGGACGATCGTCAAACTTCCATGATTGGGCCGTTGTCTCTGCCACACCTGTGAGTGTCACAGTGAGCGGCGCGCCTGTTGTCTCTGCCACACCTGTGAGTGTCACAGTGAGCGGCGCGCCTGCTGTCTCTGCCACACCTGTGAGTGTCACAGTGAGCGGTGCGCCTGTTGTCTCTGCCACCCCTGTGTCACAGTGAGCGGCGCGCCTGTTGTCTCTGCCAACCCTGTGAGTGTCACAGTGAGCGGCGCGCCTGTTGTCTCTGCCAACCCTGTGAGTGTCACAGTGAGCGGCGCGCCTGTTGTCTCTGCCAACCCTGTGAGTGTCACAGTGAGCGGCGCGCCTGTTGTCTCTGCCACCCCTGTGAGTGTCACAGTGAGCGGCGCGCCTGTTGTCTCTGCCAACCCTGTGTCACAATGGTCCCCCGATCGGCGCGCCTGTTGTCTCTGCCACCCCTGTGAGTGTCGCAGTGAGCGGCGCGCCTGTTGTCTCTGCCACCCCTGTGAGTGTCACAGTGAGCGGCGCGCCTGTTGTCTCTGCCACACCTGTGAGTGTCACAGTGAGCGGCGCGCCTGTTGTCTCTGCCATCCCTGTGAGTGTCACAGTGAGCGGCGCGCCTGTTGTCTCTGCCACCCCTGTGAGTGTCACAGTGAGCGGCGCGCCTGTTGTCTCTGCCACACCTGTGATTGTCACATTGAGCGGCGCGCCTGTTGTCTCTGCCACTCCTGTGAGTGTCACAGTGAGCGGCGCGCCTGTTGTCTCTGCCAACCCTGTGTCACAATGGTCCCGATCGGCGCGCCTGTTGGGGGTGCCGGCGTGCGGTACGCGCTGTGACGCCGGCCCGCCGCGCCGCCGCAGGGCTCGGCGACACGGCTGCGCTGGAGCTGCTCTCGGTGGCCGGCCTGATCAACTACTTCGGCCGGTGCACCGACCTGCGCGAGGTACAGCTGTCGCCCGTGCTGCTGCAGAAGGGACGCACCCGACTGGCGCTCTACGGACTGGGCAACATTCGTGACGAGCGGCTGCACCGCATCTTCACTGGCGGAAAGGTGCGTCCTCCGCCGGTAGACTCAGCGCACCCCCCCCCCCTCCTAGTTCGCTGTGATTGAACCCTCTTCTGAGGTACTTTCTGCCGCTCTACGGACACGGTCATAATAAATTACAGGGTAAAAGTCGAAGCAGGAGCCATTCGCCAGTCTTGGTCATTTGTCTTGTAGCCCAATCGGTTGTCGATAATAATTGAGTGCGTTTTGAAAAAAAGTTTACTTCGGAATTCAGACCGGACGTCAGTGGGGCTCTTGCACCGTGTTGGGTGTTGGTGATTCTCGCCAGAAAACAATAAACGATAAAAAAGGTTACGTCATCAGAAATGTTTGATTATTGATATTCAGGTTGATCCGATTTCGATGATTCGATTTGATTCGATTTCATCGAATCGCCGTGATCAAAACTATTCGGTTGGCTAACAATTGGGTGTCTGTGTCCGTTTCAGTTTCTGATGCTGCGCCCCAAGGAGGACACAGAGAGCTGGTTCAACCTGTTCGTGCTGCACCAGAACCGCACCAAGCACGGCCCCAAGAGCTACATCCCCGTGGAGTTTCTGGACGACTTCCTCGACCTGGTCATCTGGGGCCACGAGCACGAGAACCGCCTGGAGCCGGAGTGGCAGGAGATACGCAAACTGCACATCTCCCAGCCGGGTAAGCTGCGGCTGCCCGCCCGGTGGGCTGAACTCGACCTGCGCTGAACTGCTTAGCGCCCCGGAATTCAACTGCCACCGAAAATATCCTCACGTTTCTCCTGTCGATTTTTACTTTTTATATGTGACCATCACTTATCCATGTTGTTTCCTACCATGACGATCTGAATGACCAGTTCATCTGTGTGCACTAAGTTCTGTTTCGTCGCAGTCCTGTCAGTACTGTCCAAGTGCATTCTGCTCTCAATCTCCCTATTGAATGTGGGCAGTTCCAAAGTCAAATGATGACGCGTTACACGCCCCGAGGGCGTTTCATTGCATCCTGCTGTGTCACCATTACCGCCGAAACCACGGTGCAACGTAAAACGTCGTGATTCAGTGATACATACGGTCATTTGTGGAGGCAACTCCTGAATGCCCACTATGGCCCACAGTGAGATCGCGCTTTCTCTCATTCCTTTGGACGCCTAATAAATTAGAATCGGCCAAACAGTTGGTAGTAGAGCGGCAGGACAATATAGACAGCTCGCCTTATTGACAAACGCCCCCCCCCCCCTCCCGACTGAGCAGTCCTGTCACTGACCCCACCCGTACCGCCGTCACAGTCAGTTGTCCCTGACCTCGCCCGGTCACAGGCAGTTGTCCCTGACCCCGCCCGGGCCGCCCGGTCACAGGCAGTTGTCCCTGATCTCGCTAGGTCACAGGCAGTTGTCCCTGACCTCGCCCGGGCCGCGGTCACAGTCAGGTTGTCCCTGACCTCGCCCGGGCCACCCGGTCACAGGAAGTTGTTCCTGACCTCGCCCGGTCACAGTCAGTTGTCCCTGACCTCGCCCGGGCCGCCGTCACAGTCAGGTTGTCCCTGACCTCGCCCGGTCACAGTCAGTTGTCCCTGACCTCGCCCGGTCGCAGGCAGTTGTCCCTGACCTCGCCCGGTCACAGGCAGTTGTCCCTGACCTCGCCCGGTCACAGGCAGTTGTCCCTGACCCCGCCCGGGCCGCCGCCACAGGCAGTTCGGTGGCTACCTCGCCCGGTCACAGGCAGTTGTCCCTGACCTCGCCCGGGCCGCGGTCAGTTGTCCCTGACCCCACCCGGCGCTGCCGTCACAGGCAGTTGTCCCTGACTTCGCCCGGTCACAGGCAGTTGTCCCTGACCCCGCCCGGTCACAGTCAGTTGTCCCTGACCCCGCCCGTACCGCCGTCACAGGCAGTTCGGTGGCCACCTCGCTGTGTGACGGCGAGGCCAAGCCCAAGGCGGTCGGCCTGCTGCACGTGCGCGGCAAGGAGTTCAAGATGGAGTCGCTGCCGCTGCGCACCGTGCGCCCGTTCATGTTCCGCACGGTGCGCCTGGCGGACAGCGAGGCGGGCCGCGACCCGGCCGCCAGCGATGCGGCCGAGCTGGCGCAGCAGTACGTGGCCGAGTGTGTGGAGCGGATGCTGCTGGAGGCTGAGGAGCAGATCACCGGTCAGTCGCCACCGGACGGCCGCCGGCGGGGTAGCGGTGGTCGGCGGGGTAGCGACGGTCGGCGGGGTAGGGGCGGTCGGCGGGATAGGGGCGGTCGGCGGGGTAGCGGCGGTCGGCGGGGTAGCGGCGGTCGGCGGGATAGGGGCGGTCGGCGGGGTAGCGGCGGTCGCCACCGGACGGCCGGCGGAGGGGTAGCGGTGGTCGCCACCGGACGGCCGGCGGCGGGGTAGGGTGGTCGGCGGGATAGGGGCGGTCGCCACAGACGGTGGTCGGCGGGGTAGGGCGGTCGGTGGGGTAGCGACGGTCGCCACCGAACGGCCGGCGGGGTAGGGGTAGTGTGGATACCTGCAGCTGAGCGGGGGTTCGGACAGTGGGTGCCAGACAGCAGATGTCATGGATGTTTATTTGTGTTTGTGTTTTTACTACATGGATATTGGATATCACACAAGGTAAACGTGGTTGTATTATTTTGTCACATTGTTTGTGAACGTTTAATTACCTGAAAAACACTTCCCTACCAATCCTGACGTGTCGATTTGACGTGTGCCGCCGGCCGGGCAGGCCACCCCCGTCAGCCGCGTCAGCCGCTGCTCCGTCTGCGAGTCGAGTACTCTGAGGAGGCGCAGCTGTTCCACACGGTGCGGTTCGGACAACAGTTTGCCGGCCGCGTCTCCAACTGGGAGGACATGATCTTGATGAAGCGCGAGCGGTCAGAGCTCGACTCCAAGGACGTCAAGGACGGCCCCGTCATGACGCAGACGCTGCCGCGGGTGAGGGAGAGAGAGAGAGAGAGAGAGAGAGAGAGAGAGAGAGAGAGAGAGAGAGAGAGAGAGAGAGAGAGAGAGGGGGGATAGAGGGAGAGAGAGAGAGAGAGAGGGAGGGAGGGAGGGAGGGAGGGAGGGAGAGAGAGAGAGGGGGGGAGGGAGGGAGAGAGAGAGAGAGAGGGGGGAGAGAGAGAGGGAGGGAGGAGGGAGGGAGCGAGGAAGAAAATAAGAAAAAGGGATGAGTGAAAGGGATGGGTTTTAGGAGAGAAAGAGAGTGTACCGTGTAATGTCTTGAGACTCCAGATGCTTAGTATAGTCTACATTGGAGTGTTATGCTGGTGAACCGATCGTTTTCCTTGTCTCCTAGGAAGAGATGCGAGTGGAAGACTTTGTTGCCAAGCACTTTTCCGAGATGGAAGAGGGCACTGGCCTGCGACTGCTCAATGAACTCAAAATGGGCATGGCAGTGAACCACTTCGTCGTCAAAGAGGACTCGACCGCCATCGCAAAGGCGTTACAGTAAGTCAACTGCTTAGATCTAGTTTAGGCTGTCCGTGCTTGCATCGTGAGCAAACTATGTTTTCACATGATATCTAACACGTGATCGCACTCAGCGCTAGTTAGAGGACACGTTCATGCATTACAACGAGCCTGTCAACTGATTCCAGAAGGGAATTCGTTCATAGAAATTCGCCCTGTGTGCACGGTACTTGCTCTAGTGTGCTCGAGTGAGCTGGTTCGCTTTCTCGAACGGATCCGCTTGTGGTATCAATCACCTTTTTAAAACGGGCCCTTCTGCTTTTGCTCTACGTCATCGGTCGCACGACGACTATCTGCTATATATCGTACAGTTGTAGACCTCAGGCATTTCATGTCATGGGTGTTACCAGTGATATTATAGAAGGCTTAGAATCACTGATAGACGCGTCAACCTGATAGCAACACAGCGTGCTGGTACGCGCGCTACGCCCCATCGCCACGGCTAACGGACGCACCCCTCAGGCACCAGATCGCCATGACAACTGACGTACCCCTCAGGCTCCAGATCGGCGCGGCAAACTGACATATCCCTCAGGCACCAGATCGGCGCGTTTGACTAACATACCCCTCAGGCTCCAGCTCGGCGCGTTTGACTAACATATCCCTCAGACACCAGATCGGCGCGGCCGTGAAGAACCTGCTGTCGCGGAACCTGCTGGACGTCAGCGAGGACAGCATCGGCGAGGAGCTGGACGCCATCCGCGAGGAGCGCCGCCAGAGGAAGCTGGACAAACTGAACGCCACGGCGGCCACGGGCGACTCGGGCCTGGGCACCGGCACCACGGCGGCGCCCAGCGCGCGCAGGGACTCGGATGATGACGAGGAAGAGGTGGGTGGACGCTGCTCCGGTTACTCGGCAGACGGGATCGGGGAGGAATGGTGCGCTCTGCGTATATTCTAACTCTGGGAGGCTAAGAAAGCCCACTCACATCACAAGAGCTGCCACTCAACATCCAAAGTTTGGCATGAAAATACACTTTGGGCAATGTACACAACAGTCCTAATCTATCGCAGTCCAAGGTGCTACCTGTGTGTGAACGTCATCAGACGTTTTGAGTTGTTTCCCGTTATTCACATCATTTTGTGGATTTGCGAGTGTAATGACTAGACCAAAGTCCTTCAGTTTTCGGAAAACTTTCAGTTGAGAGCGCTCAATTCTCTATTCTTATCCGTATGACAAATGATCAATCTGATCATCAAATCTGGATCAAGTCTGAGATCATTCCGCGTTTGTGTTACTGTGATTTACTGATATTCACGTATTCAGCTGCAGTCGTTAGACAGTGTATCCTTGTTGTGAAGGACCGTTATTTTGATGCCATGTCCTCTTTCCCGCATTTAATGAGCGCTAGTGACTAACAGCATTCATAGTCATCACCGTGTTTGAGTCCGAATCCTGACCGGGCTGTATTGGAATCAGAGTCCTGGACCGTCGCCAAGACTCCCCGTCACTGACCGGCGCGCGTGTCGGCAGATGCTGGAGGTGTTGGAGACGGACCCGGCGCCGCGGCGACCGGCCGCCCAGGAGGTCACCATCCTGAGCTCCGACTCTGACGGCGACACAGAGATGGACTGCCAGACAGGTGAGGACACTGACGGCCGTGGAGGCTAGCTCAGTCAGAGTCGCTAGCTATAATGGAAGTCGAGTGTTATATCTAACCAGCGTCATCATATATCGAGTTTATTCATATTAATTTAAATATCTATTTGTTTGGCGTTTCCTCGCTCCTCGTAAAACATACCTTGTTGAATCGTGTTCATATCTACCAGTATAACGCCTTTTGGGGCGACTAACGGAGCGAGCGAGAGGGTGGGCCTTGCACGTGCGAAATTGCGAGGGGGTACCTCCAACTGACTTGTGCACGGCACCCTACTAACCGGTTTCTAGCGATGTGCCAAATTTGAGTACAATCGGCCCAGCCGTTCTCGAGATCTAGGAGCGGCACCCTGCACGTGCGCACGTGCAAAATGGGTCCCAACTGACTTGTGCACGGCACCCTACTAACTGGTCCCTAACCGTGTACCAAATTTGAGCGCCATCGGTCCAGCCGTTCTCGAGATCTGGAAACGACCCCTGCACGTGCGCACGTGCAGCAGCACCCCAACTTTGGCACATGGATATGCAGTGCCTAGTGGGTGCCTACCTACATGCCAACTTTCAGCGCAATCAGCCAAGTAGTTACCGAGATATTGCAACAATTACAAAACTGACACCTCTTCGTTTTGCACGTGGCACGTGCATACGGGGTCACCCACATGCATCGGGAATAGTCCAATACTTGGTAGAAGGAATGAAGCTACCCTACAAAAATTACCGCGTGTAAATCGGTCAAGTGGTTGCTGAGATATAAGCCTCGCAAAAGCGTCCGCACGGCCGGCCGGCCGGCCGGCCGCTCATACTCAGAAATTTCCGTTAATCTAAGGAAAGACTCCGCTCGCTTCGCTCGCTCCGTAATAATTATGCTGGATCATAGATAACGTGAATCATGTTATTAACATGATTCATGTCAAGATATCATGATATCATGTCATAACATGATTCATGTTATCTATGGCTGGATAATTAAAGCCACTTTCACGTTCATTCTCACACCAAGACTTTGAGATGAAAGTATAACTGAGTTTCTAGCATTTTACGGTAGAATATGTTTGGTTAAGCAGTGAAGTTTAAAGCACGCAGACCGGTCGTGATATCGGTTCCATGTCCTCAGCTCCGGCGCCTCCCGGCCGCCGCGGCAGGGGAGCGGCGGCCACCACCGGCCGGGGCGGACGGGGCCGGGCCGGCCGCGGCGCCGGCGACGCCCGAACGCCGGCCGCCCCTCGCGGCAGAGGCGGGCGGGGTCGCGGCAGGGCTGCTGCGAACAAGGTGAGTGGGACACCGGGGCGGGATGTGTGTCATCTTCCCAGGATGCAATGTTGGCACGCTAATACCTTCTTCCGGAACTGACTAATTCGCGAATTAATTTGCTGAACTCCTTTGTGAAGAGCTAATTTGTTCGTGAAATCTTGTGATATGATCAGCTCGATATTTACTAGGAAACATTTTTATTTGGTGACGAGCATTTGAGCCAGACGACATTGATCCGTGCTTCTTGCCCCGGTCTGTCTTGCTATTACGAGACTGTCCTCGTCAAATTGTTACCGTCTGCCTCGAAATTTAATTTCCATTCGATTCTCGTTAGTCGTTAGGCCCCGCGACAGCATCCCACTCAGCCTCATTAACTGTCCCTCTGGCCGGCAGGGTATGGTGCCCCTGGAGACCATGTTCGCGGCCGCCTCCCGCTCATCCCGCGCCTCCCAGTCGCAGTCGCAGTCCCAGTCGCAGTCGGCCAGCAGTCGCAGACCGTCCCGGGCCGCCTCCAAGGGAATCGTGTTCGACAGCGACAGCGACTGAGGCGGCCGACACTCCGCAGTGTGCCGGGTACTCATTACCGGGCCGACACTCCGCAGTGTGACTGAACCGGGTACTCATTGTCGGGCCGACACTCCACAATGTGTGACTGAACCGGGTACTCATTGCCGGGCCGACACCCCGCAGTGTGTGACTGAACCGGGTAGGTACTCATTGCCGGGCCGACACTCCATAGTGTGACTGAACCGGGTACTCATTGCCGGACCGACACTGCACAGTGTGTGACTGAACCGGGTACTCATTGCCGGGCCGACACTCAGCAGTGTGTGAGTGAACCGGGTACTCGTTGCCGGGCCGACAATCCGGCTCCATTCCATGCCATCTTTGTGATAATGGGTCGTGGCTGTGATCCACCAGGCGTTCGGTCCGGTGCTCACCGCTGGTGTGCGTCAATTACTGTGTGCGGGTATCTTTGTGACCTGCAGTCGAATGTCGCGTTGTCGTTTTTTATATATAACCTGGAAAATTGTTCTCGCTCGTCATGGACGAAATATAAGCATCACGCTTGCCAATTTTTGAGACTGCACAAACAATCACCAGTGGGCAAAATGACCAGGTGCTTTGTCCCTCTCTGTATCCGTATTTGTGAGACGAAAACAGACCGCAGGCAGTACGGGGACAGGTTTATTTGCAGCGTTTTACCCTCACATGATTGCGCCGATTTCTCCGTCGCACACCCGGGGTTGACACACTACCGTCGTATATTTGGAGGACACCCGTCTGGCGCCCTCCCAGTCCTGGTTCCACACCACTCTGCGCTATATACATGACACCGCACCAGCGGCGCCGTCTAGATGATGATCTTGGTGTCGCCGAGCTCCTCGTCCGAGGGGAGCTCGATGAGCGCCGGGTCGATCAGGTTCGGGTCGAGCAGTGGCCGGCCCTCGGACTCGCGAAGGTGCAGCTGCAGGTACGCCTCCCGGTGCGCCCAGTCCAGACCCCTGTCACACGAGCACAGGAAGGCTCGTCAGCTGGCGGTTAGGTCACACAGCGTACTTTGCTGTTCAGTTTACAGTTTACACCACTGGACGACATCACGATTAACGACATTGGCGTTGAATAGTGAGCGACACTACCACACAGAAGAGGGTTGCTTGGATGCCATGCCCAATTTTGTGCTATATGTGGCAATAAGTCGGTGGAGACTGAGTGAAGAGTATAATCATACCCAATGGTTGGTGACTGACCATAATTGAAATCCACTGAAATGCAGGTGTGCGATGGAATAGGTAATGAGAAGAATGGTTTGCATGGGGGCGTCATTTTGTTCACCTGGCGTCTGGTAGGTATGCCCAAATCAGGCTGCCCAGGACGATTCCACAGCTGACGGTGCAGAAGAACACGTAGTGCATCAGTCTCCTGTCTTCTGTTTCACTCTCAATGCTCCATCCAAAGCTCTGCCATTGCTGCACAGAAAGATCAACCATTGACATCAGCAACACACAACAAACAGCAAGTATAGCTGACGGCATACTACTAATCAACGTGAAATAATGAAAATGCAATATTTTGGCATCAGCAGTTTGAAAATTATATCACAGTGTCAATGTGAATGGTCATGCAGAGCTCTACTTACATCAGTTTTGACCTCTCCCCTGAGCTTTTGCTTAGCCTCAGGGCTCAGGGTTACCCTGTGAGGCTCCTGAATCGGTCCTGTTGTCACATTAGCATCAATGATGTCCTTCTTGTCAGTAGAAGTGGAAACACATCTGATGCTTGTGGCCAATGCGTGCTTGCCACCTAACCTAGACAATAGGTTGCTGGAAACCCTCCACAGAGAAGCCATGATGATCTGAAACAAAAAGATAAAATATTGAACATTAATGGAAAACCATCTCAGCTACCAACAAGCACTACGTTTCTATAAAAAATGAGAGCAAATGGCAGACCATGCTGGATTTGATATTATTACGGAGCGAACGAAGCGAGCGTAGTCTTTCGTAGATCAATGGAAGTTTCTGAGTATGAGCAGCCGGCCGGCCGGCCGTGCGGACACTTTTGCGAGGCGTATATCTCAGCAAGCACTTGACCGATTTACAGAGGTGATTTTTTGAAGGGTAGCTTCATTTCTTCTACCAAGTATTGGACTATTCCCGGTGCATGTGGGTTAGGGTTGTTAAAAAAAGCTTATTGACACCGGCCGGTCGGCGGGCCCAACATGGTCCTCTTTAACCGTTTGAGAGCACCTAGCAGTTAATGCTTTTCGGAAAAAGGGCATCATTCAACTCAGAAAAGAATACCGCACCACATGAACCATGAGCCCATAGTTCTCTATATACCGTGGAGCCCATATACTTTCCAAAAATTCGTTTTTTTTAAACAACCCTAATGTGGGTGACCCCTTATGCACGTGCCACGTGCAAAACGAAGAGGTGTCAGTTTTGAAACAATTCCAATATCTTGGTAACTACACTAGGCCGATTGCGCTGAAAGTTGGCATGTAGTAGGTATAGGTAGGCAGTTAGGCGCCCACTAGACAAGGCATATCATAGTCACCGTGGGCATATCCATGTGCCACTGACAGTTGGGGTGCTGCTGCACGTGCGCACGTGCAGGGGTCGATTCCAGATCTCAAGAACGGCTGATAAGTGTGTGGTATTAGTGCAAAAACTTCTCTAAAACATGTCCAAAGTTTTTCGCCTATAACTTTTTATATCTAGCAAAGATAGAGCAAAAATAAAAGCACCAGTGAACTCAGCACGTCAGTGCGCATCGAATGATGTACTTTGTTGACAATTTAAATGAACTTTACAATTTCTTAAAAATTAAGTGAACTTAAAGCAATTAATTAAGTTTAAGTCAATCAAAATACATCATATCGCATATCGTCCGAATCGCCTGATCACAAGGAACACAATGACACCATTTTTGAAGCTCTAGCCTCATTATGTGTCAAGTTATCAGCAAAAAGGTAGTTTGACCTTAGTTGACCCGACCCAAGCGTTCTTGCAGCTTGCAAACACCAACTGTGTTGATGTATTTTATTTCCTTGACTTCACCTGTTAGTGGAGAACTTCTCTGTTGGTGATAATTACAAATAAACAAATAAACAAACAAACTATATGTAAATCAAGGTAGTACAATACAAATACGTTAAAATAGAGCCGAAGGGGGCGACTGCCGCCCCTTCCCCCTCCATAGTTTTTTTTTTCGCGATAGCTCCAAACACCCCGGTGATAGAGAGCTGAAACTTGGCATACCTGACCTTTGATTCAAGCCAGATCTTTCTACAACAACCGCATTTTCGGGTCAGGTCAGGTCACTGACGTATGACGTCATAAGTGAACCTCTGCACGGTCTTCACATGTCGCAACTTCGCAACGCCCTCACTGCCAGTTCACAGGGAAATGAAACTTGCAGGATCTAGTATCCATTAGGAGAGTCACAAACTGTATATCTCGGGTATTTCCTAAAGGTCATATGAGGTCAACTCATTTTCATGACCTCACCATTATAAGTCAATAGGGAAAAATGAAAACTGCTATTCTGGCGCCGGGAACGATCTACAACTATCTCAAGCACACAGAGTCGTGATTTCATGCACTCCTTGCAAGGTTGGATACTTCAGTTTTGCAATGTTGACCTTGCGTGACGTCATATTAGGTTTCCGTCAATAACTCCCGATCAAATTGAGCTAGCGAGTCGGGAAAGCCACCAATGGACTAGGAAAGACCTAGACCTCGAATGATATGCGACATGACGTCCTTCGACAAATTTCTTGAACTGGGGGCGCTGACCTTACCGTGACCCGAGGTCAACACCTTAAGTTGACCTAACCCAAACAAAAAGCATATCATTCGACGCGCCCGAGCGAGACGAGCGCGATGAGATCAAAATCGCGGCTCTGCGGCCGTTTTTTTTTTGCGAAGTTATTCACCAAAAACGGAACCGTACCTTGGGGTACTTGACCTAACCTCAGAGGTCACCAGTTGACCTACGACCTTAGAATCCGGAATCGGGTATCAATCTCTGCGTCTCGTAACGGCGCACACGCTCGTTTTTTCCGCGACGCGCTATCTCCACCAGGGGCGAAACGGCGATGAGGGTGTCGTACCCCCTAACCCCCCCTCGGCCGGCGCGTATATAGAAAACCAATAGGTCCGGCGAGGGTTGAAGTTTGTGATGACCTCTAGATGACCTCAGGTCAACCAAATTTGAAAACTGGGGTGCATATGATGGCACTCGGTGAGCTTAGCATATCCTGCAAAGTGCAAGTTTGAATCAAATCAATGAAGAACTCTAGTTTTATGAACAAAATAGTGCATTTTTAGATCTATTTTGACTGGAACCTATAACTCCCAAGTCAAGTGACAAATAGATGCCCTAAGTCGTGTCTGAAGTTTGGTAGCGCTATATGTGCCATAGCACTCACGCTATTAACGAAAAACTCTGGCAATCAGTTGCCGCTGAACTAGCCCAATTTTCCCCTGACCTTGTACTGGTTAATGTGGCCTGGTGACCTGACTTGAAAATACTGAGACCTGAAATTTGAAGGGTAGGTGCCAAAAGGTTGCCTCAGATGGTATGCCAAGCCACCGTTTTTTACGTTGTTTGTGAAAAACCTTAGGGGAGTTGCATCAACCCCCCCCCCTCGTCGGGCTAAGGTTTAACTGCCTTTTTGGATCAGCCAGTGAAACTAATAATGCATAAAATATTGGCTATTTTCTCCCCTTGCATCTTTTAAAAACTGAAGAAATTCGCAAAACAAAAACATGAAAAGAAATAGGTAGGTAACACATTTCTAAGGTTGAAAAGTGTCACCACACTTCAATTTTTACAATACTTTTTACACAAAACATTTATAAGTTACACACAGCCATGCATTTGAGTCAGGTAGGGTCAGGTTATGTCAGGTTGGAGAAGGTTTTGTTATTTCTGCTTATACTGTAGCCCAGCATTCGGAGTCTCTCCGACGATGAAGATTCATTTCCACTCTGGCCCGTCTGGCCAATCCCCAGACTGGAAAAAATACACGTTATGCCGAATATGTCCGGCGTAGTGGCGGGATTGCGCCCAAAATTTCAGTGCACGTCCGGCGTAATTTCGCATGCGCCGAATTCAGCGCATGGCGGCGGCTGAATTTTTCGGCGCTTGGCGGCCGCATTATTATTATTATTTTTTTTTTTTTGACGAAAGACGATCACTAAATTTAGTCGGCACGCCGGTCAATATAGCAGTAGGTTCGCCCTGCGGGCGGCTCTGGAGAGGTTTTGAGACGATACATCCCCGTCCCGGTCGTCGTGTGCTCTTCACTCAATATACCCTGGTGTGCTCGAACTGGCAAGCCGCCCTGAGCACTGAGCGGAGAAGCGGCCGCCCAGGTGAGGCCTCAACCCTCGGCGTGGAGATAGGTATGGAAGACCTTGTTGAACATCGCCGAGTGTCGTTGAGTAATAGGTACTGCAGTGGGTTCATGCCCACTGCCGGGTATCGAGAAAAATGATAGCGCCGACTACCTGGCGAAACAAGCGGCCGCCCTGCCCTCGGACGCCCGCTCGAAGACCAGGGCGGTTCATTGTGCGGCCTCGCGTAATTGGCGAGACAACTGGTCGAAGTCACTATTCAAGCCACCCCTCGGGAGCACGCCGCCGCTCCCTATCCCCGGAGAGGACGAGAGTGCCGAGAGGACGCCGTTTCGGTGCACGAGATGAGGGCGGCCGGCGGGCCATTGGGGCCCCTCGCTCTAGTACGTGCACCGAATTGGCTGTCTCCACTCCACGGCGTGCCAGCAGTGCCCAGACAAGCGGTACCCCGCGGCGCTCAGCGCCATGTGCCGAGAAGAGGTTGATGTGCCGGAGCACGTACTACTCCGTTGCCTGTCCGTAGCTGGCGCCAACCAGCCTCGAGCACACCGCTCCGCCGAATTTTGTGACCCCAAGACTTCTTGCTCCGAATTTGTTTCACAGCATGATGCTATATCGCCCTAAGCGCATTGAGGTATTGGGTTTTGGTGGAATTAAAAGCTTATTCGGACGCTCAAACATGGGAGGGCGTCCAAGGCCACGGAACGCTCTGTCTGGTCTGGTTGATATAGCCTTGATCGGTGTAGATGTGCGCATGTGCTTTATATAAGTGGCTTAATTTTGGCACAAAAAGGCACCCAATTTTAGGCACAAATCATATAGAAATTTCACCGCAAAATCACTTTGTGCCAAATTTCGGCGCAAGGGGGTTTCACTCAAGATTCCTTTACTACTCAGATTGGTCCACTAGGGAAATAAAGGCGCCGTGGTGACGTCATCAGAGGAAATCCTTTACGTTCAAATGAAGGGGTCATTTGAATTGCTGATTTTGGCTCGATATAGTCCTATTTTTTTAGTTTCAGCCCCATTTATCGTGATGAGACGATCTCATTGTTACATTGGTACAACTTTTGATGACACATAATCCTTGTTTTTTTCTCCAGCTCGCTCGAAAGATGATGAAATTTGCATGCATACCTATGGGTGAAGTGAGATTCTACCGCCGTGGAGATGTCACGGTAAAGGGATTCTGGGTTTCACTGGCATCCGGCGTAGTGTATGGATGTTTTCCAGTCTGGGCCAATCCCATTCCATAACCGCTGCCATGCCCCCGCTGACCTTCAATGGGATTGGCCAGACATTCCAGACAATGCAGAATCTTTGTCATCTGAGACACTCCGAATGCGGGGTAAGTGTGGTTTTCACTCAATTATGAACCTAGCCTAGGGCTCAAATTCAGCTCAAGTCTAGCACCATTACTTTTCCTGCCTGCCACAATGGCCTAGTGAAAAGGATTAGATAAAGTCATAGAATGCATTGATCTCCATGCCAAACTCATCACTCAGCAATGCACAGAAACGAATTGGAAGCACACGCAAATTACCCAAAAACATGCTAATATACAAACCACAGACCAATCGAGACCACCCCCACAGAGGACGACTCGAAGGTGAAGGGGCTAGGTCGCGAAGTCGCAAAGAAGAAAACGAGTGTGAACAGCTGACCAAAATAGGAAACAAAATAGAGGACCTTCAAAGTTGATACTGTAGCATAATTGTATAAATTTGTTACCAAAAATAGTTTCCAATGTTCAATGATCAATATGGAAGTATGAATTTCGATTATCAATTTTTTTTTCAGAAGAAAAATAACCATAAAATAAGGTTGACGATAACACAAACGTAGATTGGCGTGATTGACCGTAGAGTTCTACGAATTTATCATAAAATAACAAGCACATTCTTTAAAATATCTATTTTTCACAGAGTAAAAATGCTTAGAGACAAGCTTGAAGCAAACAATTTTTAAAGGTCTATAATATTTTCTTGTGGAATGAGCTGTCATTTTTTCAGGAATTGTGATGGTGAACGCACGCGATTTGGGATATGGGTGAAACGGTTGGATATACTTGCGCAGCAGTTTCGAAAAAGACGCGCCGCCAACATTATAGAGTTCAGTGGCCGCCAACAAATGTCATTTTGTTGTGTTTGTATCATTGGGTTTGCCGGTTTTCCCAGAGTGCAAATAGGTAGATAATTTTATTTAACTCACCAGTGATCAGTTTGTCTTTACATAAAAAACATTTTTTCATATTGGTGATATTCATGCAATCACAAATCAAAATTATCGGTGCTGTTCCCTATATCTTTTTTTAACTAATGAATATATTTTTTAACTAATGAAACCAAAGTGCTGAGGTGGACGTCTGTCATCTAGGCTTTGTGGCTACTGGCTAGTACTCGCCCTGAACCATAAACATGCAATATCAATGATCAGCTGTTTCACTTTGCAGCATCAGCATGGCAGAAGATAAAGATTGCTCGGAGGGACCTAAGGTTGATTGTCAAGTAAGTCAGAACATAAACAGTCTCAGGCTCAGCTCACTCTATTCTTGTCAAGTTATTTTTGGAAAGATGTAGGTACCTACCTTAAAAGTAAATTAAATGAATAGGTAGGTAGGTATAATTTCTCTTGAAAGTATCGTGTTGTGGGCTGTGGCAGCTCAGCGAACTATTCCATTCAGTTTGAGGACCCCAGCAGTAAGGTATGGCCTGCATCATAAAAAGTATGCTGTAACACGATACTACGCCAGCAATAGGAGGAAAACTGCTGTATGATGCAGGCACCGGTGGCTGACAACTGGGTCGAAACAGGTGGAGGCCGGCCAAAGGTCATACCTACTGGTATTGCTATTCCTTGACCCCATCCCCTGCCCCAGGCAGATACCGATGCCGCTTGGGTTCACCAGCCGTGCGCTCATTGGTCTGCCTTAGTGGGCGCCAATCACTCAGTGTGGTGACTCTTAACCCGTGCCGGGCCGGTGCTCTGAGATTCCGGGCCGGGCCGGGGGGGTGTCTGAACACCCCCCCCCATTCTAACTCGGCTCCTGGGCCACGTAGCGACACGCGGTAAGGGGGGGGGGCGACTCCGGCTGCCTCCCACATCTCTTGTTCTCTCGTCCCAGGGTTCTCCAGCCGATCACGGATCGTAGACGGGCCGGGGCGTCCGACGCGGCCACTCGATGGAGCGGCTCCTCCGGGGAGTGCGGTCGCCTTGGCCAGGAATCGCGCTGCCAGTGTCCTTCTCCTCACCGATACCGGAAGTAGGCCCGCTTCTGCCATGAGCGCGTCCGACGGAGTGCTGCGGGTGCACCCCATGACGACTCTCGCCGCCGCTCTCATTTCCCGCTCCAGTAGTTCCACGTGGGAGGGCGGCGTGGCAGGGAGACAGGATGCCGCGGCGTGCTCCAGGGCTCCTCGGACATAGCCACTGGCTACTGTCCGGAGCAGGTCCTCCTCGAGGCCCCAGGACCGTCCGGACAGCTGACGTAGCTGCGCGGTGCGTGGGCGGACGTTTCTCCTCAGTTTTTGGCAGTGGGGCCCGAAGTGGAGCAGTCTGTCTATCTGCACGCCGAGTACGTTGATGGAGTCCGTGGCCGACACTGTCTTCCCCGCCATCTTGATCTGGCAGTCGACTGCGTCGCGGTGCCACTGCGACAACTCCAGCATCTGGGTCTTCGCTGCAACGATCATCTTCAACTTCGTTGCCCAGGCGAGAAGGGCGTCTGCTGCCCTCTGGGCCATGTCCTTGGCTATCTGGATGGAGTTCCCGGCGCACAGTGCTGCGGTGTCGCCCGCGGTGAGATACCGAGGATGTCACGGAGGTCTTGCACGAGTGTCGCCGCCCATAACAAAAACGGACGGCGAGAGCACACTACCCTGGGCAGGCCCGCTCTCAACACTCTCTCCCCGCTGAACACCCCGTTCACCTCTACCCTGACTCGACGGTCTCTGAGCCACTGCCACACCCAGTTCACCATGCAGGCCGGGAGGCCCCGCTCCAGCAACCGCAGTCTGAGGAGGCGGTGGTCGACTTTGTCGTACGCCCTCGCAAAGTCGAAAGCGAGGAGGACGTACTTCTGCGCTGTGGCGCCGTCTTGTTGGTTGCATGGTGTCTCGGCCGGGGGAGCTGTCGCCCATCTTGTACCTCTTGCACGAGGCGGCCGATGTTATCCTCCACAGAGCGGTGGGCTCTGAAGCCCACCTGCTCCGGCGGCACCATGCCCCTGCTCTCACTGAGGTAGGTGAGCCGGGCCAGGATCAGTCGCTCTGCCAGCTTCCCGACGTGGCTCGTCAGGGCTATGGGACGGTAGCTGCTGAGGAGCCTCTTGTCTTTCCCGGCCTTGGGGATGGGAATCACTGTCGCCGCACGCCATTCTCTTGGAACTTCTGCTGTCGCCCACCGCCCACGAGGTATTAATGAGGCGTAGCAGGGCGTCATGCGCAACAGGACCGAGGTGCATCAGCATCTCGTTTGAAATCCCGTCCGGGCCAGCCAGGGGCTTTCTTCAGCTCGGGTTCTCGGATGTGTTGAGCGAGTTCTTCAGGGGTGAAGGGTCCACAACAGCGCCCGGCCTCTCTGTCTCCTTGACATTTCGCACAGCGCTTGAGGGCGGGTTTTTGCAACTACTTCTTGACCTCTCAATCGATCTTCGTTGCTCGGATCTGCCTGGACACATAGGCACACGTCCTGGCAAAAGCATCCGCCTTGGCACGATCGGTGACAAGTAGTCGGCCGCCGTCCTCTATTGCCTGGCCATCCCGCTGTTCTTCATCCGTTGCCTTGTCCCACTTCTTTAGGAGTTTTGATACTCTCCTCAGACTGGCTGGTCGGTTCAATGTCTCAGAGACGAATTGACGGAAGCGATCACGGGACACTCTCCTCTCCACCTCCGCCGCCCTCTGTTTCGCCTCCGTCCACCTGGTCCTGGAACGCTCGTTCCCGGGCTGCAGCAGGCGTCGGGCCTCCCGGCGCTCCGCCACGGCCTCCCTGAGCTCGGGATCAAATGCCCACGGTTTGGAGTCCGCGCGGGCCCCGCGGGGGATGTGCCGCTCGCCCGCCTGACGTAGGGCCGTCGAAAAGCGGGCACACTGTAGCTGCGCCGACTCTCCCGGAGTCCCGGCCTCAAGGAGGGCCGCCTCACAGGTGTCGCGGAACGCAACCCTGTCGGCCTTGTCGTAAGCCATTCTCGCCTTGCGGATCCTGCGGGGTTAATCCTGAAGTCCGCGCATCTCCACCACCATCGGCAGGTGATCGCTCCCGAGATCTGTACCGATCCACCACCTGCTCCTTCAGGCCAGGGCTGATCCACATACCGCCAGGTCGGGCGGTATGGCTGCCTCCTCGTGCCAGGGCTTCGGCCAGTGCTACCAGCGGCTCTCAAACTTTTCCGCTCAACCGCGGCTGGGACAGGTGGCGTCTTCCCTCAGAGTCGCGATACTTTCAAGAGAGACCATACCTACTTGCCTTTTTTGCTGTCAAGTTATACCAATTTAATATAGGTAGCCCTGAGCACTCAGTGTGCAGCCTTTTAACTCTATGTGCTGTTTTCACATTATTTAATATTTGTGTATGATATCAAGCCAATTTTAATTGTCACAATTGGTTTTTTGCAGGATGCCAGTGTGATCACAAGCACCAAACTGCAGCCACTTTCAGAGGAACAGCATGCACTACTGAAGAAACAAGAGTCACGGGGCCTTGTGAGTGAGTTCAAACGGCTCAAGTTGGAACAAGAAGCAGCGAAGAATTGGGATAAGTTTTACAAACGCAATGAGACAAGATTTTACAAAGACCGCCACTGGACCACACGAGAGTTCAAAGAGTTGGTTGGATGCGTACAAGACGGAAAACAGAAAGTTCTTTTTGAGATAGGCTGTGGGGTTGGCAACTTCTTCTATCCTCTTATAGAGGATGGTCTTGACTGGTATGTGCACGCCTGTGACTTTTCACAGAGAGCCATTGACTTTGTTAAGTCACATCAGTTATATGATGACTCACGGGTACATGCCTTTGTTCATGACATCACCTCAAAATCACTGTCAGAACAAGTACCAGATGGGTCTGTGGATATAGTGTCTCTGATCTTTGTTCTCTCTGCAATCAATCCAGACAAGCTGTGCTCTGTCGTCAAAAACATCTCACAATGCGTCAGGGATGGAGGCATGGTAATCATCCGTGATTATGGAAGATACGACGTTGCTCAGCTACGCTTTGGGGCTGGCCACAAGCTGTCAGAAAACTTCTATGTGCGACAAGATGGTACAAGGTAAGCAATTCCTCATATTTTGCAGGACTTTGTTTGGTGGAACATCTAGGAATGACTGGGCATCATGAATGTTAGTTTTATTATACTTAAAGGGACTGTCCCACCTTAACATTAGAATTGAGTTGAGATAGCCATCTTGATGGGCGTTCTTTGAAAATCAGAGCCGTGAAAACCGTTTCTCCAGCAATTACTTCATCGCAAAGAAATTTGTGTTTGATTTTGACATCTGTGCAAATAAGTGCCACAATGTATTGGTATTGGCACTTAAAACCTGTGACGTCACCGCCTTTTCCGAAGTTTCTGTATCTGTCGACTTGTTTTTTATTGAAACCTTGAAAAATAACAACGCCTCTTGGAACAGCGCCCATTCGTTCCGGTGCCACGAGGTGGAGAAATAAATTGATATGCCAAACTAATTCTAATAGTCTTCTAATTCTTGTAGTATTTTTACTTTTGTATTTAAATAGTTAAGAGGCCGTCCTAAATGTGACTGAAGAATGCAAGAGCCATTAACTTATCAATGGCAGGTGTCAAGTTCAAGTGTGCAACTCTCTAAAATTAATCATAGCATCAAAATGATAAATGATTTGCTCACTGCTGCTTCAACTCCATAATCAAGACATGCTCTGAGGAGTCCACAATCTATTGATGGTGACAACTAAGGAAGAGACAATGAATGTTCACCTTTTTATTTCTGAGCATCCAAGACGACTAACCTTGAGCCGTTTAACATTGATAATACCCTGTATGCTGAAGTGTGGATGGCCTGAGGTCGACCATGCCTAGTAAAGAACTGTTGTTTGTGTAAACACCATGCTGAGGCGTTTTGAAATAAATTTTAGTGATGTAATGTATCATTCTTTGAACTGAGTTGCTGATGGCGGATGAAAGCCGAAGTGCTGCATGTTGAATCAGAAATGCTCTGTTGCGCTTTTAAGCTTATGTTAGATTTTATAGATGGTTTAGTTTTCCTGCAGATTTCATCTTAAAGCTGTCAATAGTGTTTTACCTTTGTTTCCTGGGAGCAGATCCAGCTACTAACATGAGCATGGGACTGGGCCTTTGTACCACAGTCGCTGCGCTGCTTGTCAAAACCTAGGTAATGAGCTTTGTTAGGCCATGCTGTGCATTTTTTAAACCTTTAGAGTACTTTGTGATCATTGACGCACATATTGCAATTTGCACCTGACAAACAGCAGCAAAATCACACCCCATCCTTACCTCTGTGCAGTGTCACCCAACAGACAACAGGGCTTCAAAACAGGCAGGTTCCGCATTCAAGTCGCTTCTTGCAACTATTTGACTAATGTTAGGACAATAGACGTGCTGTACAGGGAAGGCGTGTTCTGTGTAGCTCTTGAAAAATGAAGTCATGCCTAAAATTCAGTTTAGAATATTACAATTACAAATAACTTGGATAAAAGTTGCAAAACATGACCTCTGACTGGTCAGTTGAAATGTCTTGAGTCAGTGAACCATGCCTGGGCTGGAGGTGGTCAGTTCCCTGACTTGCGCGACCTCGGGCAGGAGCTGTGGTACTCGTACATGGACAAATTGAATAGATGCTAGCCTAGATCATGTCGTGGCTGCAGTCCAAGGTTCACTAGTTGCTGTTGCTGCCACCGCCTGCTGCTGCCCTGCGTACCGGCTGGCAGCTCACTGCTGGACTGTTTGCGCGCCAGGCATCCTACTGGACGAGTGGGGTAGGTCGCAGATCTTTGAGAGTGAAACGTTTGGTCTATGAAAATGTAGCTGAAACTCTTACAAATAATCTAATAAAGAGGCAAAATTTCAGAGGACTCCATTGGTGTCTCAGTGGTGACAATCAGAACTTGATCAGAACTGTTATCATGCTGAATGCTGAAACTGAGAATAGGGCTGAGCTGGTGGGCTAGAATTTAATATGCAGGCTTACAAGGACCCCAGTTAATCCACAAATTTGTCAGACTTGCCTGTAGGCAAATTTATGCAGATGAAATGTTTCTGGCAGATAGCCCCGAGGCAAAATGCTATTCAAGCTTGTTCCGCAGCTCGTTGCGTTCCACATGAGCCACTAAATCAGAGTCACACAACTCTGCCAAATGTGCTGAAAGGCCACGATTTTTCCAATAGGTAGGTATATTTATTATTTTTCACAGACACAACAAAAATACAAATGCAGTTCACTACAATTCATTCTGCTTCAATTACAATTGCTGGAATGTGTTTTGCAGACTTATTATATTGAATCTTGAACAGACTATATTATATTACTTTGCTCATGGGCCCAGGCCAGTACTGCAGAGTATGGCTCGCAGGTCGCCAAGGAGCACTGGCCCAACTCCCAAGCTCAAAATTGACACAAACCCTTCAAACAGCCCGAAAATTCACACCAAAGGGGGCCGAGGCCTGAGAGAACACAACAAATGCACCAAACCCCAAAATGGCCAGTCAAAATCTGCACTGACCTCAAATCCCCACAATGCTACACATCTGCACCACAGCAAGCCAAATTCGCACCCCGCTACACTACATCCGCACCACACTAGACCAAATCCGCACCGCACCACACTTAAATCCGCACCAGACGAAGAAGTCCGCACTGACAAAATCTAGACAAAATTGCCCCACTTTGCAGTCTGGCTCATGGCTATATCCATGGTGATTCTTAGGTCTGATTATTGAAGTTGAGCTCACTTCCAGTTCCATCATCCATGCGCCCAAGACATTGTGGGCAGCATCAATAATCAAACATCAATATCTTGCTTTTGCTTATTAGGGAGCATTCTATAACTTTTTAAAAATGATAAATAAGGCCTTGTTGATATTCTTTGCAGTTTGCAACCTTCTTCTGGACAAAGTTCAAGCTTCAATTTTCCAATTTTCATTTCAATCCTTCCATAAACATTGAACATGTTGATGTTTACCAATTTCCTGAGTTCATGCGCAATGTTTGTACTATTCGCGGCAGAAGCGTAACAAAACTTTGTGCCACCGATTTGGCAGCTAGGAAAAAAACTTTGCCCGATAAAAAAAAACAATCATATGACGTAATCGATCCAAAAGCTTTAAATTGGAATTTTTAAACAATTAGCCAACTATGGGCCGAATGTTTGCCAATTTCGTGTAAAGGGGCCCATAATCTATGTCTTGCAACACAAGAACAGTATATCAAAGCAATTTTTTGAAGGTGGGACAGTCCCTTTAAGTCCAGTATTAGATATTCAAAGATTTTTGGGATTTATAACATTTGCAATGTTTCTCCAAATGTCTTTTTATGAAACCGTTACCTGCAACTCTAAATGTTTTATGTATGTGTGTCAAGATTTTGTAAGTTTGATTCTTGAGAATCAAGAAGTTTTAAGTGTAGATCATGGTATATTTCTGCACGTGTGTGTTCGTCGGTTCGGCGTGACGGGTGAGTAACAGCCGGACTTAGTGTCTGTGCCGTCCCGTCCAGTGTGCATATGGTCGATGAATGTCCCCGAGACCGTTCGATAAACATGGATTGGCGGTCTCGAGTCGACGCTTGAGACGGGGAGTCGGCCCGCCCGGTACTTGGCAGTTTTGTGCAAACTGCGAGTTACTGTGGAAATAAAACGTCTTATCTGGGCAAGACGATATTCACAGATTATACCTACGTTTTATCGAATTCAGCCGATTTCATAAACATTCATAAACATACATAAACATACATTCAAATGAAATGAATATTAAATAAAATGAATTGGCCGTTTTACATGAAAAACAACTAAGCATTTTTTAACGTAGGACCTGGAACTACTGGACCTTGACAGTGCACAAACACTTGCGAATGCATCAACACTTGCATTATGTTTCACTAACACTTCCATGCTCAATATGAAAACATCTCCAGTGACGCATTCGTTTCCTTCCACTTGCACCCATTGTCGCATTGCCATCCGACCCGCCTCCTCCGCTCTATAAACTCGAAAACGTTTTCATTGAACACGTACTCTCTACATCTACAGGGCCTACTACTTCACCACGGACGAGCTGACGTCGCTGTTTACTGAAGCCGGCTTCGACGTGACGTCTTGCGAGTATGTCTCGCGACGAACTGTCAACAAGAAGGAGGGCGTCGACGTATCCCGCACCTTTGTCCAGGGGAAGTTTCGGAGAAGGTAAGGTGGATTATCCAGTATCGCTTTATTTGGTGAAATAATACGTGTGCCGTGCATTGTTTATGAATTGGTTAACCGTAAGTGTGCTGTGCGATTCTATTTCACTGAGTTCGTACATTCTCTTTTATTGTTATTGTGTACCCATGGGCGAAACGACTGAAGTGATAGCCACGGTGATTGTGATAGCATGCCCTGATGACTTCTAACACCGCCGCAGTCATGATGCAAGATTGACGTAATTCCGTCGTCTTTTTCAGAGCAAGGTAACAGTTTGGATAGCGCGGCCCTCTGGAAAACGTTTTTGGTGGAGTGGAATAGTCTGGATGTAAGTTGTCCCATATCGCACTGCTCATTCATTTGCCATTAGCTTTGCATATTGCTGACTCACTTGGCGAGGAAGTATACACAAAACTTTTTTTGCTAAAGTCAACTCACCTTGTGGATGTGTATTGTAAGTAAATGCTGCTAATGGCAGCAGATAGTATTTGGTTCCTGATACGTGTTCGACGGCTATCAGCGCCGTCGGGTTTCGTTTCAGGGCATGGCAGCACTCCGCCAAAGCAAGGCCGATGCTCGCATCCAGCTCCGCTCCATTCCCGATAAAAAAGTTTACGGTAAGTCCGATCCCAACCAGATTATAATCAAAGATGCTGCTTTCAATATTTCAAATTTCCTCATTGTAGCTTCATATCATGATAAGTTTGACTATTGTAATCAATATCACTGCATCAGGACAATCATCGAACCGATTTTCGCACTCACTTTCTTTTTTAGTTTTGCACGTCAAAAGTAGCTGCGAAACCCATTGTAAAAAAAATGACATTTTTATAGGTACCGGTGGTGTCAATATTACTTTACTAATACGCGGCGGTGATACATTACATCGTTTTTTTTTTCAAACTGTCGCCATTGGTAGGACGAAACTATCACAACTTCTGAGCGATAAAAGTCAATTAACCCGCGAGTTGCTGGGGGGGAGGGCGTTAAACGCCCCCACTTTTTTCGCCGGGTCATAGCATAAAAATGGCGCGCCGCAGGCGCGCCAAATTTTGGGTACCTGTAGGGAATTGATTGAAGTGTATTGTGACAATGTTTCAAAAAAATCGGTCGGAAAATTTTTGAGATATCATCGAGGTTTTAGTGACGTCATGATTTCTGAGTTTTCGGCCAAAAACGGCATATGGTCAAAAAATCATATAAAATCACAAAATATATATACAGACATGCCGTAAACGCCATTACACTGCCAATACCATGAACAATCAAATGGCTATCTTCGATTATTGATTATCGTTCCGCATTTTCCAAAATCTTGAACTGAATCTTGGCAATTTCTCGTGACTACTTCACGACCATGATACATGCATTTCTTAAATTGAACTTTTTAAGCCAAACACGTACACATATGATAAAATGAATGTCACCATCGTATTCTAGGCCCCAAATTACCCATAAAACATGTGTCACAGGCTGCGAATATCAGTTTTGATTTTCGGGGATATGTGCCTACCCGGTTGACCTGACCTTGACCCTGACCTATGCTTTACTGACCCCTACATGGAGCTGACACTCTTGTAGGCCTTATATGATGGATTGTGCACCGTTCTGACAGAGTTTATGACGAGAGGCGCCCATTGCGAAGTCCTGAAGTCCATGCTACTGAAAGCCCGATTTCAGGTGTTTGACCTGACCTTGACCCGACCTGTGACCTCAAAATTCAACTTTAAAGTAGTCATCTGAAGCGTCTCGTCGCGTTCTTTCGTTTGCCGCCTCGTGCGTTTTGCTGCGCCTATTGGTTCTCGAGTTATCGGCTGGGGGCGTTTAACGCCCCCCCCCCCCCCCCAGCAAACGGTGGGTGGCGAAATACCCCAGCAACTGCCGGGTTAAAGGGTAATGAAAGACCGCACGCGGTTGTCTCTTCTCTGAGGAAATTCATGTGCTTGCTGCTTTTGTTAGCTGGCATGTGCTCCAGTCATCCGAGCTTGTTACGGAAAAATTGCTTCTAATCATTGTAAAAGGTGCCTAGTTATGTTTTGCCCGATAATACACTTCTTTTTACCCCGGCATTAATTAAAATATTCACACTATTTTTGGGTACCTATTTCGTGTTCACCAAATTTCGTGTTTCGTGTTCATTAAAATAAACCCCATTCAAGCTTCTCGGGCTTATTACTCAACCTTTTCGGGCTTATTACGGTTTAGGTTCTTAAAACGAATGAATTATGTAGTATGTTATCATTAAAAAGACAACATTACACAATGCAGGGATCACCGATGACCGAACTTAACCCGCAGGTCACTGTCGTAGTCAAGCGTAGTGTTACATCTCGGTGGCGCGTCGACTACCTATCTCTAAATCGCGTTTATGGTCTAAACATTAAAGTATTAAATGTTCAAATGGCTACCAAACCCCCTTTAATCTAGATGGTCCAACTTGTTATGTTATCTGTTTTCCAGAGAGCGTTTTCTCTCGTCTCCGCGTTGACTGATGCGATGCGATCTGACATCTGTTGACCCGAAGAGGAGTGGTGCGATGAACCGGATGACGCTGTCAAGTCTCTCATGTGTGATTTGAACTATAAAAAGGCGCAAATATATTTTTGGAAAACAGACATGCTGCTTTGGACGTGTGTTGCACTTAATGTAAAAAGAATTAATTTATTCGTCATTGACAATTCGAAGTTGGCACATGTTTGTTAGCTCATTAGTTAGTCAAAGTAGATCATATATTGTCGAAGCTGGCATATGTTCCTCGCAACAGTGCAAATGTCATGAAGATCAAGGCCAAGTAGGGTGTTGTTTCTTGATGTTGTTTTGCTGATAGCCGCCCAGCCAGCAAAATTGATCTGGGCCGTAGCTGGTCTTACTCTGGCTAGCTCCGGCACTTTACTCCAGCCGAATTACGGACAAGGTCTGGAGCTCTACTGGAGCTGACACTTGATCCCAGAGCTCGCCAGCACCACGGCTAGACTTAGGCCGTATCAGCCGTGTCGTATGTACCTCAACCGTACGTACTTCAGCCACAGTAAGCCAGAACAGCTAGGATACCTATGTACGAGGCAGCAGTACCCGACCGTAGCACGCCGTGGCGTGGCAGGGAGCCGGACTACGCGGTTCGAAAGCATACCAATTCCGGAGCGCTACTGCAAAGACTGGCTAACCGATATAGAGCCATCAGAGTCATATCGACGCAAACCCCTGTTCCGGCGGCATTCCGTTTATTACACCAGCCTACATCGGCTGCTGGCATACCGGAGTTGCCGGGGCAAAACGGAATTGAGCCAAACCAAATGGCTGGCTGGGCGTTGCTTGGCACTTTCCAAGGCCCTAAATGCAATTTCTTTTTTAGGTTCGTCCACATCAAAAACTTAATACGGCCTTATATTTTCAAATAATTAATACGGCCTCGATAAAAACCACTTTACCTTAGTCCCGTTCATTGTAATGCTAACTCATTCAGTCTGCCGACCCTCTGGCCTCTACTGAAAAGAACGGATCTATCAATTGCGACCGGCATTGTTTGTTTTGTTGGGTTAGGCCCTTTCGGTCCAATTAGACCATTTCAGAGCCGGAAGGATGATAGGAATTAGGGGGAGACATTGGTCTGGGCAGGCACCCTGGTGAGTCACCGGGGCTGAGCCCATCCCGAAGGACAGGCCGACCAGCCCCAAGGTACTCACTGCACCCGGCTACGGGGTGCGCTCCCTCGGGAGCAGCGGTGCCGCTCCAAGGGAGCAGCCCGAATGAGATAAAGTTGCCTGTCCAGCCCGGAGGGGGGTTGCGGCGTGGAAGAGAAGGATTTCAGTATCTGAGGATAGAAGCACGGAACGGTGTGTGACCGGCATTGCTGCCCGCGTCTTTATATTGCTTCAAATATACCTATCCGATGACATTTCTCTCAGTCTCACAAGTCACAGCCTTCAGTTTCCAGACGGGCTTTCTCCGAGAGGTCATATGACGGGAAATGCCGCTTCGGATCATGCTGCCTTTGGGGGAACGTAGCTAATATCAATATTTTGAAATGGTAGATCAAATCATTTTGATAGGGCTTTTTGTTCGGAACATGTTTGGAATCGAGGTTGATGGCCAGTTGATGGATGATGGGCTTATGACGTCACCAAATTTAGTAGGCTACGAGCTGTACCTACCAATACAAAATTAGCGAAACCTTGAGCATTGTTTTGCTTGGATGTGATAAGTACATTTTTGTTCTCATTTTTCGAAGTAAATGGGAAAAATTGTTCAATAAAAGCATTTTAATTTTCATTCTGGATGGATGTACATGTAATATGTATACCTAATACCATATTGTGGCTGGAGCACTAAACTCTATAATGGCTGGAGTCTGTCAAGTTTGCCCGACCTAAAAACTGAGACTAATTTGGGCCGTTTTTGTTGCATTGCATTTGAAGCATTTCAATTTATTCATCATAATCATGTGAGATTAACCTTGTCAACAGAAAATCACTGGCTTTGTTGTCATAGCAGTAGGCTTGCCAGTTCCTAATGAGTCAAGAGTGTGACAAGCTGTATGAAAACGGTGGCCATTGGTCTGGAAAAATTTAGGTGAACCCCTTGGGTGAACAAGTATAAGTATATGTGTAGATGGTATGGTTGGTTATAGGTTGAAGGTTGGTAGGTTGTAGGTTGATAAGTTCAAGGTTGTAGTGCAGTAGGTAAGGTTAGATCAGGTTAGATTCTGTTTTTATCATCACTATGTCATCAACACTTTTGCCAGTGAACCTGTACCAAGCCAGTGAGCCTAGTTGATTTTAAAGGGACCCTCCCACCTTCAAAAAAGTTAATGAATTGGCATGAAAGTGATGTCGCTCGGTTCAGAAAGAGCAAAAACGAATTTCTACCAAATTTCATCGAAAAATATTCACCGGTTTTCAAGATATTAGACTTTTACTTTTGTTTACTTTTTGGGATCTCCGCTGTTCCTAGCGACTTTATTTGAAAGCGCGGCATTTGTTGCGCGCAAAGCAGCATATACCACCGCGTGCTACAAAACGTTTTAGTCAAACATTTAACGGACGTTCGAAAGCCTCATGACGTCATCAGATTCCCGTAATGGTTAAGAGATAGGGACCACGCTGGTCCCACCCTGCAACTAAAGGGAAGAAATTTCTTGAACACCATAAAGCTGCGGGGGTTGCGACCAGGATAAATGGTGGTTTCTGAGCCTGGCCGCAAACTTGGCTATCTCAACTCAAAACTAATGTTAAGGTGGGAGGGTCCCTTTAATTTCATGTCAGCTTCATAGCTTCTAATTAATGATTACTGATTAGGTAGGGTTTGGTCGAAAGTGAGAACAAAGTTTGGGCTTTAATAACCTGCAGAGTGCAGCTAGCAATTTTTATGCAATTGAAGCTGGTAATAGAGCATCATCCTAATCCCTAGATTTTACCTCTATTATGAGATGTGATTGTGTTCATTTGCAGGCAGGTGACTTACATACATGCTAAGATTATATGCACATGTTGACATAAGATGTTTTGTTACAAAAATACCTAACAAAAGACATGTTGTCTCAAAAGTCAAAGGTCAACCTAGGTCAGTACTCACTACTCAGTGACCCTACCCTGATGGGCATCTTTTAAGAACTGAGGTCAATGCACATTATAAGGATGACACCTTGGCAACATAAGGGTCCAGCTAGATGCTAGTGAACTCAAAACTGTTTTTGCTGATACCGTAAACTGGGGTGGCTTTGAACTTCCGGGTGGCTTTGAACGCTGTTCACTTCTTAGAGGGAATCACAAATATCTTAAAAATGTGAATTATAAATGCAGCCATGTTTTTTTTACAGATAAGAATGCACATTTTTGAAAATGTACATGACATATTGGAAGATATGTACCTTAGTACATAGGAGTAAAAAATCCAAAACTAAATCAACGTTTTTAGCTTTTTGAGATATACCCGTAAACTTCCATATGGCATGGACTAGTCATTATGGTCATGGAACGGAATGACATATTTTTGCCATCCTCGATGGTTGGCCTATATTGCCCCATCATAATTTTTTTAGCTTGCTTGAGCATGGCCAATGCTGTGAAGGGATTTGTAAAAGCATGACATTTTTGGAACTTCGCTGGGGTGACTTTGAACATGTTCAATGTAGCCACGGTGACATGCATGCCTGACTTGTTGTTCAAAAGACTTGTTGATCAAAGTAACCCCACCAAAATACACTGCATACATTTTGCGCTACAAGATAGGGGTGTAACAGAGATCGACCAGCTGGTGTGCAAGCTTAGCCAGCCTGACATGGACAGGAAGGGCAGGCTCCACTTCAAGAGTGAGGAGCTCTCACCATACAAACTGATGCTGGGGTAAACTCATGACTGACGTGTTCTGACGCTAGCAGGTGTACCTAGTGTTAAGTGTTAGTATTAAGGTGTTAAGTCGGGTGTCAAGTGTTAACTGTGTCCAAGGATACTCTGTACTCAGGTGTTCTCAGGTGTATTTCATGCACAGACCTAGTCGAGTGCATGCATTACACTTGAGTTGAGTTGAATCGAGTGATTTCATATCCTGTGAGTGTTGCTCCACAGTGCCTATGCAAGTGTTAAGGTGAGTAAGTAAGGTGTTTGCCATGAAAGATGCTTCTTTTTACTCACTGTCTGTGTGCTAATTTCTGTGAATATGGTGTTTGATTCATCAGCAGAGGCTGTTACAAGAAGTTGTGTTTTTTGCTTGATGAGCTTGCCTTGTTTTGACTACTACCCCCAGAAGGACTTTTGCAGGTATAAATTGTTTTTGGCCTCTTTTTTAAAAAGCATCAGGGTGTTCAAAGCCACCCCAACCGGCACGAGGAATTGCACACCTACTGAGATAAATGATGAAAAACACAGACTGTTCAAAGTCACCCCATTGCATGGTGACTTTGAACACCAGACATTTTTTAAAAAAATAGGGAAATGGATATACCTAATTTTTTGTTGACACCCTGGATGGATAAGGCCAGACTCAGCCCACAAAATAGTCTATGTTTCACATTTCTATCTACAGTAGTTTTCAAGATATTCACCGATAAGTCTCAAAACTGTCCAAAGTCGCCCCGTTTTACGGTAGTTGTGCAGTTTGTTGTTTTGACAAATTTGGTGTCAATATGTCATTTTGGTTCAGATTTAATTGTTCTGTGGTCTGGGAATAGCCAATGGGCATAATTGAATATGAATATTGATCTTTTTTGCCTGAGGATTGGCAAGGGATGCCTTAGAAATTACTCATTTTAGCTGGCTCCTACAAATGGTGATGTACCAGTTCCATATTCAGCTATATAAAGGTGCCATCCCCCTCCCCCCTCCCAGGCCCTTTCCTTCATCATGCTGTAGATGAGATTGTATGCTATGGTCATTTACAAAGGGCACTTTAAAAAGAGAGCTATGGAGTCATTTTTTGTTGGCTCAGACTCCAAACATAATGTTATTGCTTTAATTCATCCTCTAATGTGTTTCAGACTTGTGATCTGAAGCTGCTACAATGTCTCAAGAAGGAGAAACTGGAATGCAAGAGAATACTTCTAATCCTGATAAGAGAGGCAAGGCTCTCAACCAGGAGAGGGCTTCAAGAGGGATTCCGACTCATCGCACCCTAAAGCCACCAAACAGTATACCAAAACCTGGCGCACATGCAGCTGCAGGGAAGCTGGGCTCCAAACCCACACTAGCATCAAAAGAGAATGACTCTGCACCAAGGGCGGCTCCCCGGGTGGGAGCGGCGGGCGGCCGTCCTCCATCCTCCCACCCTGCCAGTGCCTCTGCAGCGGGCTCCAAACCGCGCACGGGCGGCGCGCGTGCCGCGGCGGCGGCCCAGTCGGCGCGCACAGCTCGGAAGCCGCTGTCTGCCAGCGATCCGTCCGGGGCCGGCCGGCAGCCGGCGGCCCGCCCGCTGGTGAAGGCAGCCGCCGGGCCGCGCCAGGGCCGGCCGCGGCCGCGCGGCATGGCCACCGTGGGGGGCGGCGCGCCGCTGTTCGCCACGCCGGGCGACACCAGCCAGCTGCACCCGGCCATCATCAAGGCGGCGAGACGGAGCGGCCAGCTGAACCTCTCCAGTCGCGAGCTGACCGAAGGTGAGCCCCTCCCACAACGTGGACCGCTGGCGTCAGTCAGGAAACAATGGTTTCCGCCAGTAAAATATTAACATTCTCATATTATTGATTCTGGGGGCTTTGACATGAGTTTTTCACCTAGCTAATGCTTCGATTTTATGGTTCAATAAACGGTTACCTATGGTTTTTTCACGTATTAGTCTTCAAAGATTACCTCGCGCCTCCGTTTCTATTACATTTATCGATATAATCCATGATCCATAAGATGCATTCAAACATCATACGCAATGCGATGTCGTTTTATTATCGCTTTTGTACCATCCTGGCTAATCTCGTTCTGTAACTGACTAACCTGTTGTAATCTCGTTCTGTAACCTCACCTGTCGCAGTGCCGCCGAAGGTGTGGCGCATCAACGAGATCGACAACGAGGAGGCCAAGCAGCTGACAATGGAGATGGACGGCGGCGGCGAGGAGCGCTGGTGGGACCAGAAGCCGCTGGCCAAGCTGCTGCTCTGCGGCAACCGGCTGACGGCGCTGTCGGACGAGCTCGGTCTGCTCACACACCTCACCACGCTAGACGTGAGTCAGCTCTTAGTTCGGGATGTGAGAGCTCTGACAGTGCAGTGTGCCCCGTCAGGATATGCTAAGGACGATTTCGATATCTGTGTTGTCCTTTAGATAACTCTTGTTTATTATCGCACAGGGTTGAAGTTATGATGCAAGATTGTCTACTGTTTTTTTTTTTGTGAATTAAAATCCCATTTTGAACAAGGTTTGTCACCTGCATTATTTATGGAGTAAAAGAAAATAACACTGGTTGCGTATAAGAACGGTGAGAGCAAATTAAAAATTAGAGCGCAAATTACGGTGTTCGTCCCAAACCCAGGGCCTCGTTTCATAAAGCGAGTCCGTAACTTACGGCGGTTTTTTGTCTAGTATTGCGAGTTCATGTGAAGCGATGACGTTAGCTTGAATCCTTGAAATTTATTTACCTTGCAAGCAAGAACAGAAGGGAAAAGGGGAAATAAATACATCGCTTCACATGCACTTGCAATACAAGACCAAAAATCGGCGTAAGTTACGGACTCGCTTTGTGAAACGAGGCCCGGGACTCGGTTTGTGCCTTGTCGTGACTTTCCGTTGTTAGTAAGCGCGTGCCAATGACATCACCTATCCACGGCTGCTGCAGGTGCACGACAACGCGCTGACGTCGCTGCCGGAGTCGGTGGGCCAGCTGCAGTCGCTGACCCGGCTGGTGGTCAGTCACAACCAGCTGCGCCAGCTGCCCGGACAGCTGTTCGGCGTGACGACGCTGCGCCAGCTGCTGGCTGACCACAACCGGCTGGAGCAGCTGCCCGAACAGACCGGCGACTGCCTGGACCTCGAGCTGCTGGTGAGACCGACAGACGCACTCGCATCGAATTTTCATGCTGCATTGTAATCTAGCATGAATAGCCAAAATACACCACAACGGTTTGCAATCTCCGTTCTGACGCTACTCGCCGGTGTATCGTTGCCAGCCAACAACTGACTGCCGACATGTTTCCATTTGCTTTGCAGGATGTGTCTCACAACTGTTTGACCTCGCTACCGCCCGGACTGGGCTACCTTCACCGGCTGACGCGGCTGGCGGCCTCCGATAATCGGCTGACCTCTCTGCCCGACGAGATCGGCTCCATGACCAGTGAGTGGCGTGGGAGAGAGGGTTTCTGCTGAGAGACGTGGTTAGGGCGCCCGGCCTGCCAAAAAGACAGCAGGAGATAGAAGTAATTGAGGCACGACGGCTGTATGTGGCTGCGAGAGGCAACAGGAGGTATGGATGTAGGCTGAAACGTGGATTTAATCGGCTGGCGAGACATGATGCGTGGCGGGCAGACAGCTCCGAGGTCGGCATTCTGCATGATTTTACTGCAGAATGCTGGTGAAAATCAGGAATGGCATTATTAATTTCTTCATATCCCAACTAACTAAATTGCATTTGTTGGAGAAATAAGCTATATGGACATTCGATAAACGTTACATTAATTGCAATGCAATGCATCGTACACACCATTTAAAGATTATCGCTTGCTTGTGAAGCCTCCGCCGTCTTATCTTATGCTGCATTCCTGCTATTTTTTCTGATCGAGGCACACACAGCTTAGCTTGCCCTTACTTTTGGGCGGGTTAAGTGGCCGCGGTGGCGTCTGTGCTTCACTGAACATCCCATGAGCGATATACATACGTAATTCACGCATATTATTTGTTGGCGCTATAAGTATGCGTGTGCCACTGTGCGTGTGTGTGTGTGTGTGTGTGTGTGACTGCCGTCCGCGCACCTCGGCCTCTGACGCTGCTGTCGTTGTCCCAGGCGCCGGCCACCACGGTGGAGGTAAGGACTGCCGGCTCACCCCGCCACGCCCCCTCCCACCCCCGGCGCCTCAGCCCCGCTGTGGCTGGTGCCAAGTCGTCCGCTAATAGCCGCACGCACACCGCGCACTGTCCGAAATGCACGTGGCAGCCCCGGCACCAGATGCACCGTGTACCTATGTCGCCAGCCAGCATGGTGCACCGTGCAAATCCCACCCGAAAGCCCGTTCATTCACCCCCACTCCTTTCACCACACTTACAGGACGTAATATTAATTATAACTGAAACACTTTCTCGTGTGTTTTTTTGTGGTATAATGCAGTAGGTACTTTACATAAGCCCTCTGAAGATAGGGTGAAGTCGTATAAGAGTACGCACTTAGTGGATTTCTTGCTCTCATTTGTTTAATATTTGAAGGAAAGAAATCGCAAATAGGGAATATTAAAGTTCATTGAATTAGCCATCAACCCATGGGGCAACGATCCTTCAGAGTAAATGGAAGTGGTCTAAAACTGACATTTTCTGAACCGTTGCACTTGCGTACTCTTACCATATGGGGTGTGTAAGAGTACGCACGCCAGGCGGGTGGAGTACGCAAGCATATGAACACACACCTATGCAGCTTGCACTGTCCAAATGCTTAACTTCAAACTGAGAAGGCATTTAAGTTAATTCTAGTATCCAAAAAGAAAAACATAAAATAAATCTTTCAAGTCTATAAATCAGGAAATAATCATGTCGTGTGTTTCTTAAAAAAAAAATGCACAATCAAAAAGGAGAATAACTCGTATTTGGAAGAATTTCGGGTACGCATCTGCATCACAGTGCTCCATTGATGATTTACCTACAAAACAATCGTCATTGAGCGATAGATTAATAATTCTACATTTCTGTATATTCGATTTAATGTATAATTCTGCGTACTCTTACCCTCCTGAACAGTGCGTCCTCTTACCGTACATGCAATTCGCGCACAAAACAACCCCGAAACGTTGTGCAAAACTTCGCAAACAGAATATTGCACTGTACAGTATTTCCCCAGATAACCTCACAAGTTTCCCACAACAATCACGGAAATGTTCCTTATCTCAACTGCCAAGTATCAAAATTATTGTACCATATCATAATAATATCATAACGCTCGAAAATAATATTCATCGCCTTAAACTCAACACCGTCGCCGCTCAACGCCCACGTTCCGTTGGTGACATGCACGCACTGGCGGCTTCATGTCACTTCATGAACTCGACAAACCCGCGTTGCTAAGCAACCGAAACAGCTGATGCGTACTCTTATCGCCCGCGTACTCTTACCCGCCCTTACCCTATACTTGGATGCTGAAGGAGAGAGCACGCATTGGCATTAGAGATGGACTTTTAACCAGAAACATATTCAATGCAACGGGTTCACCCATGAATGAGGCATCTGTTTTATCATCTGTTCTGTTTTATCCACTTGTTTGGGTTTATGATCGCTTTGAAGTTCGATTGAACTGCCGTTTTGTCCAATTTCCTCCATATCCCAAGGCTGTTTAAAATGCATTTAGGAAACGTTTTGCACCCAGATTCCAGTCGCATCGAATAAAGTTCAATCGAATGAATAAAGGCATGAATGTTACATGTTTAATGTGTAATTGAATGTCGATTTTGTCGAATAATTGAAGTGAATAGAAATAAGCGATAAATGTCCCTGTACTATTGTGGTACCTAATTTTGTCATTGCTAGAAAGGAAATTAGCATGCATGCTTCGTTTTTTGCGGACAACGAATGACGATTTTGTGCTGCAGAATAGTTAAATAGCGCTGGCCTATATTTACGCAACCGGTTCATATTTTACCATTATTTGTGTGTATTTTGTGCTTTTTTATCTCACCTGAGATTTTGCGACTGCATTACGTTTTGTTTGTGATTGCATTGCTACAGCTATTTGCAGAATATATTGGTGATTGCTCCCTTATTGTTAGTGTCATAAGTCTGTATGCTGATGATGATATCCTTGCGTGCTAATTTACACGCTTATTCAGGAAGGTCCGGTGTGGTCATATTTCGTGTCGTTGTTGCCTGTCGTCTGAGCGGTGAACTAACGCCTGGCGCCGTCTCCGCCAGGTGTACGTCACCTGGACCTGTCGCGCAACTCCCTGACGGCGCTGCCCGCCTCCATGGGCCAGCTCTACCAGCTGGAGGTGCTCGACCTGCGCCAGAACCAGCTCACCCAGCTGCCCGAGCTCACCGACTGTCACGCGCTCAAAGAGCTCCACGTCGGCTTCAATCAGATCAAGGTGAGTCGCTTAGCAGAGTGCCAGCTTGTCACCACGTGAGGAATGAGATAATCAACTGCCGTCATCGTTAATAGACTGACTGCACAGTTGTAAGTGATCCACTGTTACTGTCGGTAAATGCATTATGTAAGCGCCCACGTGCCCATCGTCATTGACGTTTCTGGGGTTGCGCTTGTTGGTACTGATACACATTTGGTAACGCCTCTGCCGTTATAAACTTGAATTATGGGCAGTATTCTGCAACTGAGGGAAATCCAACAAAATGGGCGGGTCTCGTTATGCCTGGTCAGTGGTCACATAACATTTTTGACTAGGCTTCAGCTCATTTATTTTGCTATAATTTCGATGCAGTGATCTTGGTAGATTTAGGAAACATTTTGTATTTTGTAAAGCATCATTGGCACCAATTGCAACATCACGGGAGGAGCTATAAACTTGCAACAATCCCCATGTAAACGCGGCTGTTGTAGGGCATAACGTCGGTAGTCTGTCCACTTTCCACGTGCGAGAGCAGACACTTCCTCAACGTCATAATAGAGGACCAGTGACTAAAGACCGAGCCGCCCCCGGGTGGGCTCGAACCACCAACCTTTCGGTTAACAGCCGAACGCGCTAACCAATTGCGCCACGGAGGCTCGTGATTTGTTGTGGAAGCCAGATTTTGCTTCACTTTTAGCGGTTCTGGGGTTTCTGACGGTCTTTGATGACGCTGTCGTCTCTTGACATATCGCATGGCCAACCAGGCCGCAGGGTCGGGTCTCTCGAAGAGGGTGCGCGAGCACAGCACACGCCTTATGGTGAACAGCCGAATGGCCACCGCGTGTCGTGGAGCCTGTAGTATTTTTTTTTCGATGTAGACGTAGTGACGTGCTCAAAATAGACCCCCGAACTTTGTTCGACTGCCGCCGACATGCTGCTACGTTTTCGGCAGTTTTGCCCTACCGCGGCCGTACGGGCCTGAGGATATTTTCTAAGGAATTTCCAGGTCGCATCATTACCTCAACCTGCCCAACCGTTCGCCGAGAGACGTCAGATCGTGCTACAACTCTCGCCTCGTTCCTCGCCTCGTTCCTAGCCGCTGCGCGCGGGCAGCTAGCGACAAGGTGCATCTTCAATCGCCCGCGTGGCTGGCGAGCATTCTACCCTATACATATATGGCCTTGATTCTACCACTGAACCACCGATACGAATTAAGGTGTTGGAGCCGCAGGTTTTGCGACGCCATGGGCTCCTGGTTTTCTTTCACGACTTGTTGTTGTTGTTGTTGTTCGTCCCTCCGTCTCACAGCTGAGACGTAGCCGTCCGGCTCTGTAGGGACCTGTGGGCCACGACGACGTCGCTCCGCACCTCTTCCAGTTCGGGGTTGATAGATCCCAGCAGTCGGTGTCGGGTGGCCATCAGGGCCGGGCAGCGCAGGAGGACATGCTGGGGGGTGTCCGCCGCCTCCCGGCAGACGGGGCAGAGCGCGGCCCTGCAGTGTCGATCGTCGCACTGCTCGCACCCCGCCAGCCGGGAGGACGCCAGCCCGACTCTGTGGCGCCATTGGGTAGAGCTGGTCCAGTGGCCGGCGCGGAGCTGGTGTACGTCCACCGCCGCTGACCGGTCTCGCCGGCAACGGCAGGCGGGAGTCGATCCCCCGTCAGCTGGTGGAGCCAGCCGGCCGGCCAGGCCCGGATGGTACGGGTCCTCGCCAATCTGGCGGCGGCCCGGTGGGTCGTCTGGACGTCGATAGGTGCCTTGTCCTGGACGAGTTTACTTGCCTCCTTGGCGATGAAGTCGGCTCTCTCGTTCCCCTCTAGTATGAGTCCGCAGTGCGAGGGCACCCATTGCAGGTGGACCTGCCGGCCTCCCGCCGTCAAACCCCGGAGCCGGCTTTTGACTTTCACGACTTCGGGCCGCACGCTGCACGGGCTATAGATCGGTAGTGACAAGCAGCTTTTTGCTGATCGGTTAACTGGGTGAGGTTCGTGCGGAACGCCCTGGCGAGACGGAAAAGTGATTACAATTCTGTGCATGTGCATCGGTGGTTCAGTGGTAGAATGCTCGCCTGCCACGCGGGCGGCCCGGGTTCGATTCCCGGCCGATGCATTTTGATTGGTCTTACGTTTGCTTCTCGTATGGTGGGTCGCTTCACCCCGCGTTCGCCAATCGCTTCTGTGCTCTTGGATCTGTGATGTTATTCTTTTTTGTTGGGAACAAGCTCTTTCGGCCATTGCAGAACTATGAGGCATTAGGATAGGACATAGACATTGGGCTGTGCTGAGCACCGACGGTGTTCCTTGGAAGCGAAACCATTCCAATGGGACTGGATCGTCCCATTGGGACAGCCGCCCGCTTCTCAAACGGGCCACCCCAGAGAGGGTTTTGACGGCTCCTTGTGCGGACTCCACTTCATCTACCGGTTGTCAGGTGGGCAGTGGGCCGGGGTGACCGCCATTCCGGAAAGGGAGCGTGAGGTGGGATGCGGATAGATTTATCCTTAGGATGGCAAGGACGGATGTGACGTTTTTATTTCATAGGAGGGCTTTTGTGCATCGTGTGGTGGCGTTAGGATGATAAGTTGGAGTGATGCACGCGTAAGGGCTACAACCATCCGCCGGAGTCTGGCAATACAGGTACAGAGGTGGGGGTGACGGTGTGAATGGACGGCAAGCTGAAGACGAGAGTTGCGCAGCGGGGCGCTTGATTCCTGACCATCAGTGGCTGGACAGATGCTGCTATCAGTGCAACATTGCAACATTGCAAGGGTGATTTAGAGAGTGCAACAGGCGCCTTCGATGGCTCTGATGCTCCTGATCGGGTCGATGTTACTGTATTGCCTAAATTGGAATGGCATGTGCCAACTGAGTGTGAAAGTGTTTCATTATGCGATAATACCGCAGGTTGGGATCAATTACCTTTAAAGGAAAAGGGCCACCTTTAACATGGGGATTGAAACTGAGATAGCCATCTTGTAGCCCGTGTCCGAAAACCTTTCTGTCTACCTTCTTACGGCCGATTTCGGCCTCCATTCGTAGTTATCGGCAATTTTAAAAGAAAATACGCCAGGAATGCGTCCTTATCCCAGAAATGCGTTCTTATCCGACAATACAGCCACCCGCGGCGAGGCTTTGGTTTTTTACCAATCAGCTCCAACCAGCTCAGCTTTAACCAATCAGCTTATCTGACACAATCCGACGAGTCTGTCTTCTGAACGCTGATTGGCTTGAGTGTGACGTCATTGCTATGCCATCATACAGTAGGTGCCGTAGAGAGTATCAACATAGTACCAATATGTTAAATAGTTTTAAATACTTTTTCGCGAATTGTGCGCTTCTGGCACCAGTTTTAAAAAGAAAATGAAAAATAATAATGTCAAAATGAAAAACAACGATATCTTCATATTTCACGAAGGTGGCCCTTTTCCTTTAATTAGACTGAAATGCGAATTGCTAGGTCTGCCTTCCCGTTTTTGTAGAGCATGCTTTGGTGAGTGGTGACTGGTGGTGACCGGTCAAAATGCATCGGCCGGGAATCGAACCCGGGCCGCCCGCGTGGCAGGCGAGCATTCTACCACTGAACCACCGATGCGATGATAAATATCCTGACGGTACCCCGCGGCTGGAGTGAACCACATGTTTTGTTTGTGTGCAATGCACATGCCATGGTTCACACTAGCGTTTCGCCGTGTGTCTGCCTGCCCGTTCGGCAGCCCGCCCTGTCCCACTGAGTCTGACCCCCCGTGTCCATCCCAGGAAATGAGCGTCGAGCTGGTCGAGAGCCTCAAGTCTGTGGTGACGCTGGACCTGTCCAACAACAAGCTGGAGGCGCTGCCGGACGAGATCAGCTGCCTGCAGCGGCTGGAGCGGCTTGACCTGCGCAACAACGACCTGGCCGTGTGGGTGCGACGGCGCCCTCGGGGTGCCACCTGGGCCACGGGAAAAGGGATGACGTTGGCTCGGTGGAAGGGCTGGCGGTGATACCGGTCAGCGTTCGATAGTCGATTGTGATGCTAGCGGTGGGTAGAGATTGTGTTTAGCGGTATCTTCTGTATTTAGTGGTACCTTGTAAGTGGTAAGGCTTATAAGTTACTGAGTTCTGTATAAGTTTGATCTATCATTCATGACCTATTACATATCGGCTTGTGTCTCACGCTTGACGCTGAGAAACATGCATTTAAACCGTTTAGACTACAGTTGAGCTACTGGGAGCGTCTTGTATGTGCTGTATTCTGTCTGATCGTTGCTAACGCTTCCGTCTCTGCCGTGTCGCACAGGCCGCCACTGCGTCTCTGTCTGCTGCCGCTGTATTGTATTCCATGCTGACCCCACTGTCTCTGCCGGGCCACACAGGCCGCCACTGCGTCTCTGTCTGCTGCCACTGCTGAAGTCAGTCCAGCTGGAGGGGAACGCCATGCGCTCTGTGCGCCGTGACCTGCTGACGCGCAGCACGCAGCAGCTGCTGCGCCACTTCAGGTGAGACCCACAAGCGGTGGAGGCATCTCGCTGACAATGGGTGGGCAGGACTGGGCTTAGTTCTTCAATATGGGTGTAACTGGGTAGTGGCATAGCCGAGCTCGCCATTTCTTTTCTTTTGGGGCACATATGACTTAACAATAAACGTTTCATGACCTCTCAATCAAGTAAGATTGATAGTTTTATTCGCACTTTAGCTTAATACTCTGAGGCACATGGCTTAAAGCCCGCAGTTTCTGGCCGTGTGTAGCTTCTATGACCACCAGCTGCTCCACCCCAACTCCGCACTGAGTGTTAGAGTAGCGCCGCGAACAGTGCCGTTTCTGTTGGCCGACCCAGCTCGACTGATGACCTGTTTTGCACCCTATCTCCCTGTCTAAAGAATTGACATATGCGCATCTCAGCCGCCATTTATTGGTCACTTTTTCGTGAAGGCTGTGGCGAACGGCTTCAGCCAAATTGGTGGCTTTGCTTTGCTTCTAATGGTACGGTGCTTTCCCAATTATTTGACATGCTGATATCTTACCAGCTGTTTTTCCTAACAGGGATGAACTGTAAGCAGCGTTTAGGACTGTAAGGTTTGACTGTCTCGCCTTCGTGGTGGAACAACGCGGTTCGATTCACATCAGCATCTACTGTAGAATGGAATGGAAACGATACTGATGAACGCCGCGTACCCACACTGCATGTTTAATTTTGATTTGACGATGTCCGTTCTGACACTTGTGTTTTGTTTTGTTTTTTCGTTACGATAGTAAGCTTGTTGCGATTCTATTGTTTGTGTTTATACATGTTTCTTTTAGTCATCTGACACATCACTGACCAATTGAAGTCCGAAGCAATTCATCCGAAATGTACGCAGATTGTTTGAACAAAAATGTGTGGTTCTATAGTTGTGCAGTCAATGTCGTTTAGTTACAGGCTTTATGTGTGCTTGTCCACCATCATATTTTTTGTTTTGTTGTGGCTATCAATTTTTTTTTTGTCATAATTTTCCTTTTCCTTCATGAGAGCTGACTTCACCAATACACTATCACTATGTGATATGCAAAAGGTATGAAATGACACTACATTGCCCTGAATTGCGTCTCTGCAATATGATCGTAATGTTCCCATGCTTCACTGAAAATTCAATCGTAGTTCTGTGCACAATTAGTGTCGTTTCGTTTCTTTGAAATTGATTGGTGGGTGGTTCCAAATGCGGACTGTTTCAGGCTGTATAAGGTAACCTTGAGTCCACATTCAGAACGGTAGGAGTGTTGTATATGATGCTACAGGCAGTCGATTACACCGAACCCTGACGGCAATTACTTTTTTAAGATATAAATATCAGCCACTAACTGCGGTAGTGATTGGGAATGGGATGTCTTTGTCAACTGTAACGTCGGCCTTGAGCATTGAACGCGTGTCAGACTGTGGGACCCACCGTTCGGTATGCCACTCTCCTCCATCCGTTGCTGTGGCTGTTCCCGCAGCGGCCCGCTGCCACTTGTCTGTCGTCTGACTGTCTGTCTCGCGCAGGGAGCGTCTCCAGGGACAGGCGGCCGTCGAGGGACTGCTGATCCCCGGTCTGAGTGACGCCGGCGGCGGAGGGCCCTGTGACGTGCCCGACAGCCAGGCGGCCGAGAGAGACCGGCTGCACGAGGTGCACAAGGTGAGTGGGGATGGACCAAACTCGCAGCGGGAGAGTGAGAAGACGACACGAAAGCGGGTCATGCTAGCCTGTGCTGTGCCCTATGTGCCCTCTTGTCTTCCTAGCAAATGTGTTGACTCGCCCTCCCCGGCTTCTACCCAGATGAAGAGCAGCCGGCTGCTGTCACACAGCGGACAGAAGGCGACAGAGATTCCGGACGACCTGTTTGCCATGGGTCAAGAAGCTGAGGTCACGACGGTCGACTTCAGCAAGAACATGTTGACCAGCGTGCCGGCAGACAAGTGAGTTTGCAGTGCAGCGGTGCGCATGCGCGGTTAAAATCAGGGAGACCAAAATGCATCGGCCGGGAATCGAACCCGGGCCGCCCGCGTGGCAGGCGAGCATTCTACCACTGAACCACCGATGCGTTACATGTTGAGTAGTCGGCTGTCTTCGCGGGGGGACGGCGTAGGAGCGACGAGGAAAGTACCTGCATTTGAGGCACGGTCAGTAAAAACCTGCATGTCACTCGCATGTGGCTTTAGACGACACTCGTGCCGTCAAGCTTGTGTCTCTCCTCCCCACAACAGCGGACGGCAGCGCTCCGGCTGCCGCGATACTCGAGAGATCCTGACATGACATGTGGCATAGCAGTTGTCCTGGCACCTATGCTTGGCCCGCTCCCTGATTATTAAGGAACACTACTCAAGCTGAAGACCGACTTGGTGCCTATTGATGCAATTCGTTTGGTTCAGGGTATATGGTTTGGCTCGCTCTCCCCTGTCTGTTCCGTATCTAATCGTCGTCGAAATAAATTTAGAAAATCGAGCTAAGGCCTTAGATATAATTCGTGTAAAAGGACTAATTCCATTCGTCTGACTCTCTGAGTGGATGATCGCAATGTCCATCCCGTCCCAGGTAACACAGCACAGCGTGGCGCCAGGTGTCGCATATCATTCGCCGCAACTGCTCTGTACTGATGTTACGGGCAAAGTTCCCTAGGCTGTTGTTCACTTGCCGCTAGGATTAGGACCTGCGGCTAACGACATCGTCCTGATATTGAGGTCCGAAACTGAAATTGAGCCGTTCCATGTAAGGATTTTATTGTTAACACTTACCAGTGATGTTTTACATTCCGGAATCTAAAAATACCTCCATCTTTTTCGCTCCCATGACCGCTTCAACAAATCACTGAAACGGCAGGGACATCATCTGATTCAATTCAGTCCAGGGCATCACCCTCGCCCCGTGTGCTACTGCTGTCCTTGCACCGGATAAATCAAAGCTCCGGATTGCATAGAGCGAAGCCGCTCACCACACGTTCCATTCGCTGAGACAAGTGAAAGGCATCGTGGGACACTTTGCCCATAACACCAGTGAATAACTGAGCTGCGGTGAATGAATGGGCAGTGGTGCGCGGCAGATGGTGCCGTGCCGAGCTGTGTTGCACGGTACGGGAGTTGGCACTTCGAACATCTGCTCTGGGACTGTCTCTACAAATTGCAATGATGTATTGCTTTGCTGCTAAGCGTTTATTTTTCGTGGCGATTCCTTTCTCTTCTACCTGTATGCACATGCTTGAGTAGTAAAGTAATCTTGCACGCTTCGGCCCTGTCAATTGTCAGGTCCGTTGCTACGCTTCGTAGTTCGTATGCTGTATGCACTAAACTTGCTGGTTGCGCAACAAAATGCATCGGCCAGGAATCGAACCCGGGCCGCCCGCGTGGCAGGCGAGCATTCTACCACTGAACCACCGATGCTCATGGACGTAGAAGTTGCCGGTTTTTCGGCGCCAGGAATTCGCTTTCCAATGCCCACTGTGAGGTCAAATGACGCGCCCCGCCAGCACGCTGGACGTGACTTAGCAGGTTTTTCTGTCACGACTAGCAGTGACCTTTCCTGCAATGCCCTGTAGCTCATTTCTATGGAAACATTTCCCCGTTGTGAGGGCGTTTGTTGGTGGTTCAGTGGGAGGATGCTTGCCTGCCACACGGCAGACCGCCTGTTCGAGTTCCGGGCGATGTGTTTCTTGGGATTGGAATTGAAGGCTACAAATGCGACGTGACACACAGCTCCCCTTATTATCCGTTCAAAACACCATTGGTGGTTCCACCATTGGTGGACCATTGGTGGGAAGACACGGTGTATCTGCCGTATTCGGTCATCCAAGCGCTTAATTGTTCGGCAGATTGGGGTCCGTAGTCCGTACCAATTTGCCCGCTAAGAGAATGTGTGGATTGTGGGGCCTACCAGACGACTCTCAAGGGTGGGTCCCCCGACATTAACCCGCGACCGCCTGGGGGGATGGGGTCGGATCCGACCCCCCTCCGTTTTTCTTCAATAACTCATGAACCGCTTACGCTATCAACTTGAAACTTAGCATACCTTCTCCCCCATCAATTTGACGTCTCCTGTGCAATTTTTAAGATTTTTTTCATTTTTTTCTAGATATATCGATTTTGGTGATGTAACTACATGGCGTTTTCAGTCAAAAGTGGTAAATGTTTAAAAAATCGCCAAAAATCAGGGTTTAAAGCAAATTGCAAATTAAGGACATGATTAGACGCAGCTCAACGAGTTCTTTAAAATGGCTATCTCGGATTTTCCATAAAATGCGTTTTTCACCCCTAAAAATTCAAAAAAACTATATTTTTTGGAAAATAGCTAATAAAATCCAAAATTTTCAGAATTTCCAAAAAACGGAATATATGTTATAGAGCTCTATTAGAACATTAGATGTCCCAAATTTCAACTTTCTATCTTTATTTTTGACCCCCAAATTGTAAAAAATAGCTCCAACATGCATAGGGCATGGTGACGTCATAAGCATTTTCGTGAATTAGAGGCACTTCTGAACATCGCATGTGAAAACAAATGGCACCACTAGATTCTTGGGACAAAGTTCGTCTAGAAAAGTGCATTTTTATGTCAAAAATAAAATGTTGAAAAATTGACTTTTTTCTTAGCCCTCGTTTAGTTATGTATGGTATAAACGAATTTTTTATGCTTTCAGTGCACACTTATCACCAGCAAATTGACTTGGGGTCTGTATAACCATTACCGGTAACCGGACAAAAAGTCAAAAGGAATAAAGGCAAAAGACAAATAGTCAAAAGACAAAAAGTCAAATGCAAAAAGTCAAACGGGATAAAAGTCAAAAAGATAAAAGTCAAAACGGATAAAAGTCAAAAGACAAAAAGTCAAAAGCAAAAAGTCAAAATGTGCAAAAGTAAAAAAGCAAAAAAGTCAAATGACAAAAAGTCAAAAATGCAAAAAGTCAAAAATGAAAAAGTCAAAAGGATAAAAGTCAAAACGGAAAAAGTCAAAAGACAAAAAATCAAAAGCAAAAAGTCAAAACGTGTAAAAGTCAAAAGACAAAAAAGTCAAAACGAGTAAAAGTCAAAAGACAAAAAAGTCAAAACGGAATAAAGTCAAAAGACAAAAAGTCAAAAGCAAAAAGTCAAAACGGGTAAAAGTCAAAGACAAAAAGTCAAAAAATGAAAAAGCATAAAATAGAAAAGTCGAAGTCAAAGTCTGAAATAAGAAGTCAAAAGGATAAAAGTCGAAGCATCGATCTTTTCATCTTTTGAAAAATATTATACAGCGCAACGTACCCTACCCATTGAAGTTGTAAGGAACATGTGAGTACGCGAGGGATTCTGACAGGTACCGGGGTCCGCAGCAGCGGGGCAGGGACGCTGGCTGCGGTGGTGGGGCCCACGCTCACATAATACGCGTTGAGCGCTTCCGGCGTGCACGCTGGCGCAGCAGCAGTGGCACTCTTCCCCGCCCCGATCACCGGCCGCAGCACTGTCCACATCCTCGCCGGTCCTGCCTCACGCAGCTGGTCAGCATAGTATGCCGCGTGGTCACGTCTGATGGCCGCTCGACACTGCCGGTTCACCACCGTATACTCGGCGCGCGGGCCGAGCAGTGCGCACGACTCTTGACTTTTGACTATGTCTTGTTTATCTTATTTCCATTTGAATTTAACCGTTTTCACTTCAAGTGGCTTTAACTAAGGTTTTTTTAGTTTCGTTTTACAATAAGACAATACAAATTATTAATATTTGACTTTTTTCTTTTGACTTTCAACATATTTGATTTTTGACTTGTTTCCATTTGACTTTTATCAATTTGACCTTTTTCGGTTTTGACTTTTTGCTTTTGGCTTATGGTTTTTAACTTTTAGGAATTTTGACATTGATCATTTGACTTTTTGTCTGATGGTTTTTTAGATATATGACTTTTTACTTTTGACTTTTTCTTATTTGACTTTTTCCATTTGATTTTTATCATTTTGACTTTTTTGCCGTTTTTTCACTTTTTGTCTTTTGACTTTTCGCGTTTTTTGACTTTTTGCCATTTGACTTTTTGCTTTTGACTTTTTACTTTTGACTTTTTGCGTTTTTGACTTTTCGCCATTTTGACTTTTTGCCATTTGACTTTTTTGCTTTTGACTTTTTTCGTTTTTGACTTTTCGCCATTTTGACTTTTTGCCATTTGACTTTTTGCTTTTGACTTTTTTGCGTTTTTGACTTTTTGCCATTTTGACTTTTTGCCATTTGACTTTTTGCATTTTTGACTTTTGGACGTTTTGAATTTTTGCCATTTGACTTTTTGTCTTTTGACTTTTATCCGTTTTGACTTTTATCCATTTGACTTTTTTCCATTTGACTTTTATCCATTTTGACTTTTTGCATTTGACTTTTTGTCTTTTGACATTTTGTCTTTTGACTTTTTGTCCTGGAATCACCATTACCATCGGATTCGGCGTCGGGCCGACGTCGGCATGTTTACTGGGTGGTGCCCCCCCCCCCTTGTCTCAAATCGTTCCGCCGCCTATGCAGCTATCGATTCCGCTGTCCGTAAGCCTAATCATGCAAAACCCCAGAATTTGACCTTTGACCTGACCTTGCCCCGAAAGTTGACCTCAATCTTTAAATCTTAAGAGTGCTCAGGGAAGGTCTCGTAGAGACCTTTTGAACGCCGCCTCGCGGGGCTCGATACGACCATTGGTTGTTGAGATAACAGGGGGGGGTCGGATCCGACCCCCCCCCCCCCCAGGCTGTCGTGGGTACGGAAATAGCCCAAGCGGTGCCGGGTTAAGAGTTGTGAGCGACCGGGTAGCTGACTGTCAGCCTACCCAGCGTGGTTGTCGGCGCACTACGTTTCCTTTGGCAGTGGTTGTGTGCCTTCCACCAGGTTGAAAATCGTTTGTGTACTGCAGAGTCATTTGTATGGATTTGTCACCACTAAGGTCTAAGGTCTATACTTGTGCTTTCATGATACCTACCCACTGGCTGTAAGGCGGCGTGTGAGCAGAAGTTTGAGCTTTCCCACAGTCAGACCATCGTGGAAGACATCGCTGTCTGTCATCGAGGTTTTAAAAAGAAGTACACCGAGTTACCGGTTTGCAGGAAATGCAAAGGTGAACAAACGATGCAAGTTATGTCGTGAAATGGAAGTGATATTGCAAGCATGGTGCTAGTTTCCACATTTTAGCAGATTTTGTTGAGATCTCTCAACCCCAGGGCCTCCGTGGCGCAATTGGTTAGCGCGTTCGGCTGTTAACCGAAAGGTTGGTGGTTCGAGCCCACCCGGGGGCGCAGTCCCTTTTGCGATGTGTCAGTGTGAAATTAGCACACCCCAAAGTTCTCTCATGCTGCCTTGGTTGTGATTGCTGGCAGTGTCTGGCTGTTAACATCAACAAGGCCCTGGATTATCCACCGTCGATTGGTTGGGGTGCTTGGCTTGCTGGCGTTTGCCGACATCTTTCAATATTTTTGTTTATACACACACGCCGCTGAATGTCTCAAAATTCAGTGCCCTTAAGTCCACACAGCTCTAAGTCCCCGTCCGCTCTGTGTTCCGACAGCCTGCTGCTGCTCAGCGGCCACCTGTCGGAGCTCAATGTCAGCGGTAACCGGCTGACGGAGCTGCCCGAGGCGCTGGGCCAGTGTCGCCGCCTGACCTTCCTGAACGCCAGCAGCAACCAGCTGGCCGGCCTGCCCGGCAGCCTGGCCACGCTGCAGCACCTGCGCGAGGTGGCTCTCTCGATGAACAGGTCAGTCCGCCCTCGCCATGGCGGCGCACTGGGAGGGACTGGTTTTTATGTAATGTAACAGTATGTTGGGGTCTTCAGGGATGGTCTAGCAAGTGTCGGTAAGTGGGGAGTGGCTAAGATGGTGTTTCACCGGTTATAGCAGCACGCTGCTATTCTGCTGACGTCACACTTGTTGTGTTGGAGCAATGGGCTTGTTGACGTCTCCATGGAAACCCAATTTGACACGTGTTGGCAGCGTGCTGCTATCGCCGGTGAAACACCACCTAAGTGACCGGCCAAAATGCATCGGCCGGGAATCGAACCCGGGCCGCCCGCGTGGCAGGCGAGCATTCTACCACTGAACCACCGATGCTTATTGCGGCAGGTATTGATCAGTGTTCCGGCCAGTGTCGCCAGAGGCGTTCTACACAAAATTAGTCTACCACGTGGTAAAAACCTGCTTGTCACTGCCGATCTACAGCTCGTGAGTCCGCAGTCGTGAAAGGAAACCTGAGGCACATGGCGTCACAAAACCTACTGTTCCGCATCCGTATCAGCATCGGTGGTTCAGTGGTAGAATGCTCGCCTGCCACGCGGGCGGCCCGGGTTCGATTCCCGGCCGATGCATTTTGATCCGCCGCAAGCATGGATTCCTCGTTTGAAGGCGCGGCTCAAGAACTTCTTAGCACGTCAGCTTTGCGCTTCCTCTTCGGTTACCATCCAGTTCACCCACTTCACACCTGCTTTTCGCGAGCGCCTGTGAAGAGCAGCGGAAGTGTGCGCGCCTGATCACCGCCTGCTTCAAGCTCATGGATAAGGACACGCTGGCAACGAAGGCAGGCCTTCCTCCACATCACTCCATGCCAAGGAGCTGGCAGCCGGCGAGTACACACACATCATCCGCCTGCCTCCGGAGGACCCCGCTCGCCAAGATAACTTCTCGCTCGCGACCGTCTTGATAAGACACCACTACCGAGGCTCCACCACCGCGCCCACGAAACATGGAGACGCGCGGTAGCGTCTGCCGAAAAGGCGGGACTGCCACCGTCACCGCCGACAGACGAGGACGCGACCTTGCCTTACAAACCATGCCATCTTCGGGTCGGTATCGGGCTTGCGACGGGGAGAGCGACCTCCCAGTGGAGCCTTCTGGTACTCTACCAGGATGCACCGCCCTGTTATCTCCGTGGATCTGCCAAATGGATCTGCCAGGGAAGGGACCATCCAAGCAACTGGAGCGATCGATCATCAAGCTCCCCCGACAGGGACACACAGTCGAGTGCGGTCTAGTGTGCAACAGCATAAGGGCAGAGCTGGTGGCAATGACGGAGGCCTTGTCATGCCTCCATGAGCTACCAGCTCACTGACCAAGAGCATGCTGCTCTGCACAGACTTCTGGTCAGGGCTCCAGCTACTAAGCCGCGGCCCGGATGATCAACAGTCGGCCATCGGTCAGCGCGGCTGCTTCGTTGCCGGCGACGGGCGAGGTCGGCGTGACCGAGGACCCAGAACAGAACAGAATGTATTTCAAGCTCATCCAGGTAAACATACACCGGCTTTTCATGTGCTTACGTCAGTTGTGGGATAAAAGGCATACACACACGACACTAATACGACATAAAACAATGCAAAAGGCAACTAACCCAATGAAAGAATGCTAAAAGGTACCACAGTAAGTACACACGAGCACGCTCACACCCAGACTTGTAAACGATTCAAAAAAATTCAATCAATTCAATCACGACTCACTTGATGAAATGACCGATTCAATCATAACTCAATCAAACAGTCTGATTTTCCAAGCGATTCAATCACGACTCATGGACCCTGTGATTCAACTCAATCACGACTCATCCCATTATCAGCGATTCAGGGAATGACTCAACTCATGATTTAACTCAACGCGATTCAATCAAGATGTTATCTAAAATTTATACATATGTGATATCAATTTAAGTCATTTTTGGAAACTGATACCAAACAGATACCAACCAAATACACTAAGAAAATACCAAAAAGTCATAGAAAAGTACTAAATCTATACTGAACTCAACAAAGTTGTAGATATTTATATAAATACGGTGTAAAGATGATAATTTAACTAAGTACAGAAAAGACAAGCTCTGTTACAAATGAAGCTACCAGAGACTTATAAAAATTCATTTATCTGCTTGGCGCTTGCAAAAGGAAACATGCAAAATTGCACAGGACACTACCACATATTATCAGCATCATCGAAAAGGAACAAAATTTGCAAATCAATTGTGATACCAAACTTAAATAGCTGGTGATCAGCCATTCAAAAAAAATTGATTGATACTTTATGAAGCAGTGGTAAAGCCAGTAAAGCATTACACAGGACTAGACATTTTCGGCGTGCTACAAGTTTTCTTTACTATCAAGAATACGGAATATCGACACATACGAAGTTATTCAATAGTTACATAATATAAACTGAATGCTCTCATGATAAAACTACCTCAACCATCCATATTTTCAATGACAAAACAACAATTCCAAGCCCGCCCCACGTAAAGGCCTGGCTACCAGGACGCGTTTTCTGCGTGCGTTTTTTGCTTTTGCGAGTTTGCGTGATTTGCATAATACGGTTCTAGAAAGGAACAATATTATGTTTTGTTTTTGTTATATTTTTTATAAAAAAAAAAATTAATTATTAAATTATCATAAAAGGCTTTATTAACGTTTATATAATATACGCAAAACATGCAAGCTCGCAAAAAACGCACGCAGAACACGCATACATAGTGTACTGTGTAGCCAGGCCTTTAGTTCTGAAGTACGCATGCGCTAAGTGGGCAGCCATCTTTAATTTAGCAGCAGAACCAAGGGTGGGACTAAATGCTTACTTCGAAATCTAAGCTACGTTGCGGCATTGGCGGTTATGTGCGGCGTGTATGCCGCATGATTAGTAAGAGGCGACCACTAAATTAAAGACTCAAACGCTCCGACCGGTTCGCAATGAATAATACTGCATACCAAAAATGCCAACCGCTCTCGTCATAAGATATTCAGCTTTAAATAACTAGGTTATCTACATCATCATTTTGAACCAAATTAATACTTTCAACTTAACTCACTCATTCCTTCCTTTGTTGTCTCCAAAACAGTCGTTCGATTGTCTGGAAATCGTATGCTAAATCCCGTACCTGTATGCGACTGGTGCATATAAAGGCCGATAAAAGAATTTGAATAGGCTCTGGCATGCGATTTCCTGGCTACCCAAAAAAGTCTGTTTCAGTCTTGCTATCAAAACATGACCTCGCCCGCACAGGGGGGGGGGTTGATGCAACCCCCCTAAGGTTTTTCGCGAATAACTCGCTTAAAAAGCGGCTGATCGCGACGAAACTTTCAGTACCCTCGCATTGATCAATTTAACACCCATCCTGAAAATTTCATGACCCTGACCCAAATGACCTTTGACCTGTGACCTACTTTTCGAGACCATGTTTGGCCGGAACCGCGATTCAGCGTATGTCGGCTCGCATTAGCAGCGCGTTTGCAGTCTTTTCGTGGTTTCAAGCGTTCAAACATGTGATATGATGTTGCCCCCATGCATTAGGGTGGGTGTCAAGGTCACCTGAAGGTCAGGTCAGGTCATTGACCTTTGGTGACCTCGGTTCACTTTTTCGAGTTTGACATGTTTCTAGGTCAGTTTTTTCGAGCTGAATTCGAATTAAGCAACCACATGAACGTTTACAAAGTAGTTTTGGTGCCTTCGTAACATGTTACGAGGCTGTCAGAGGCGGTTGACACCTACTACAAATACCTGGCAGGACCTCTACTGGTTGACCTGACCTGACCTAACCCGACCTGGCCTAAATGAATGAAGACATCATCTGTGATCAAAACTAGCATGATATTCGTGATCAGCACCCCGAAAAACCCCATAGCAGCCACACTACGACGTTCTAACAGGTCCCAATTTTCCCGCCTTTTGGGTCATTGACCTGACCTGGAAGGTCAACCGATAACCTAGGACCTTAAAATTGGGTATCATCGGCTTTCTCTCGTCACGGGCAACACGCTCGTTTTTTCCGCGAAGCTCTAGCTTGATCAGGAGCGAAACGGCAAGGGGTTATACCTTATACGTTCGCGGCTGAGTATTAATTTGGTTCAGAACAATGATGTAGATAAGTTAGTTATTTAAATCTAAATATCCTATGACGAGAGCGATGGACATTTTTGGTATGCAGTGTTATCCATTGAAAACAGGTCGAAGCTATTGAATTTTTAATTTAGTGGTCGCCGCTTACTAATCATGCGGCATACACGCCGCACATAACCGCCAATGCCGCAACGCAGCTTAGATTTCGAAGTAAGCATTTAGTCTCACCCCAGAACCAAGAACCATGGATTACTTAACTATATAAAATACATAGTTTATATTTTTAGATTCAATTAAGCATATTTATGCATGCGTGTAAAACAGTTTTTTATCCTGTCCAATTCATTAAAGAAAAAATATTCAACAGGAGAAATCTAAATTGGTTTGGCAATATGTATTTAGCCCAGCACTAGGTAGTTGCAGCGTGTATTGACGCAGCTGCGACATGAAAGCGTATTTTGCGTGGTTTGCATCAAAACTGTTAGCGGTCCTCGAAACTAGAAGGTGAAGAACACCAAACGGATAAAGATTGTTTGTTGAGCTATGAAAACAATAGTTTTTGGGTGATGGTGGACGTGATGGGAAGGTGGTTGTTTTTTAATACCTAGTAGGGTATGTATCTACTTTTGTGTAATTGGGAGCCACCACGGCAATATGTGACAGATCCATCAACGCTCATAAGCCAAGGTATTCCAATTATTTACGGTGATAGGTAAACGCTGATTCTGCTGGGAAATGTAAAGTGAGTGAGAAGACCATGGGTTAGATCAAGCAATTTATGACCCTTAGCCCAAAATCAAATCAGTAACTAAGGTTACCAAATTATAATGTAAACATGCATTGTGTATTCATTAATATGTTTTGCTTACTCACAAATGTCCTGATGAAACAGGGT